CTGCATCCTCAAAATAAAACTTTATTTTATATATATATATATATATATATATATATATATAATATATATATATATATATATATATATATATATATTGTGGCTTGTTACAAGAACTCAGAAGACTGAGTCACTTTTGACATTTTTGGCCCAAGTGCCTTAAGGCCGATCCTCGCGATTCTGGGCATAGGTAAATTCCAATGTAAAGTTAATCAAACGCAAAAACTATGGCAGATATTGAGATGATTCTTTTTTTATATGAAAGGTCTAAAAAAGTTCTAGTGCACTATTTGGTTGTAAATTAATAAATTGTTTAAACAATATGTTTTTTTCAAATATTTTTGGTTAAAATAAACGTAAAAATTTTTGTTTTGAAATAGGGCACTACATAATTTGACCCACTTTCCGAATCTGTTTTTATTTTTAACATAAAGTGTAACACAAAGCAGCTATTTGATATAAACTTTTAAAAAATTTCAAATTTCTGCTAAATGCAATTTTCTCTCCGTCAGCACAGGCTGTCCTTGTCGGTAGCTTCTGGATTCTCGCCAGGTAGGTAAAACCCTCGGAGGAGGATAAATAAAGTTGAATAACATTATTAGGGCTTATTCCGACTTTTGACAAACCAGTGTGTTTATTGTATTTAAAATAGGAAATTTTATATAAATAAGCAGTAAGTACTATAATTTTATTAAATTTTTATATGAATAGAAATATTTTCTGTTGAATAGTGACATTTTCCTTCTAAATATTTATACTGTTTTTATAATAATACTATTGTTTTAGTATTTGCTTATATAATAATAATTTATTATATAGAGACAGCGTAGAGTTTTGGTCAATCATCCAGTACATTTTTTTTTTGTATTTCAATCAGAATTATTATTTTCTTTTCTTCTTTACATGAGCTCAGAGTAATAACCAAATATTTTGCAGTATTTGAATATGAAATTTAATTATTTATATTTATTGGTTAGCAACCTACCAATCGTAAAATCAAATACTGCTCAAAGAAACAATGTACAGTCTCGGAACCGGATTGATACTATGAAGACGACTACGGCAAGAAATAAGGACAAGCGAAAAACATCCAAAACCCAGATGAGAATTACTTGGAATATCAGATCACTCAACTCAAGGGACCAAGAAATAACCCAAGTGTTGAAAGAGAAAGAAATAGACATATTTGTGCTCTACAGCAAACAAAAAATAAAGGAAAAGGTCAATCAAAATTAGGTGAATACATACTAATCTACAGTGGAGTAGCAAAAGAAAACAGGGCCAAAGAAGGTGTAGCCTTACTAATACACCAAAGGTATCAAAATTACATCAAAGAGTGTCAATACATATCAGAAAGAATAGTAACATCAAAGATAAGAATGGAGAAGGAAAACCTGAACATTATCGGAGTATATGGCCCAGAAAATAATAAGCCTCAAACAACAAGAGAAGTGTTTTACGACCAATTACAACAAGTAGTAGATCAAGTCAAAGAAAAGATGATAATTCACAGCTAATTAGATTATAATAATTAAGGAACCTCATTGATGCCATATTAAGGAATGGGATTTGTATTTTTTGTTAAAAAATTTGCACAAACATTGTACCTTTACAGGACCCTCTACGAATTTTCAAAAATGTAGTTCAAATGGTGACTAGGAAGAACCTACAAATCCATACCGAACAAGCAATTTCAAACTAATAAAATTTTCTATATCTCCGGATCTACTCAATGGATTTTGATCATTCTTTTTTTAATTTGTATGTAATTTCTAAGTACATCAGAAATTAGTAATTTGGTTATATATTAATTAATTAATAAATAGTCTAGTTTGTTTAAACAATTCGTGCAAAAACAATTTTCTTCCAAAAATCTATTTTTTTTAATACTAGTATCAATAATCATAGAAACAATCGCGTTTTTTGCATTAAATTGTCAATAATTAAAAAACAGCTCCAAATTCAAGGCAAGAAACAAGTAAGTTTTCTTCCTATAGGTCTACAATAACTAAAAAAGTTGTCAGCGACCTGGATTATTGAGTGTCACGAACATGGTCTATTTTTTGCTTATTTCCCTGGAGTATATATTTGATTAACATCTGTGTAATTTCTTTGTCGCTTCCTCGGTGGTTTTGCATATTGCTATGATAGCAATATCTTCGGTAAATGTTGCAATTGTATATTTTCTAGGACAATAATATAACACGTATACAAAAGGTAAAGACACTTCTTTGTGGCAGCCCTGCTGTAATATCTTTCAATTCCGTGTATGTTTCTTCCTGTTTAATTCTGAAATATCTTTCCAAGATGCAGGAGTCAATTATTTGAGAGTATCGTTTTGGTAAATGTAGTCTTAGTTTATAGTTATGGCGTCTTTGCCATACTTTATCATATACCTGAGTCACATCCTAAATTATTGATATAAGGTTGAATGCTCGAATAAATGAACTTTAAAAAATGAAGGCAAATTTCGAGCACAAATTTAATAATCAAATCTTGCCCAAGTACTTTCGCTTTCTACAGCATCATCAGGGGCATCTGCGCTTGCTGGATAGCCCAAATTTGACGAAGTAAGTCTAAAATCACAAAAAACTTTTATCATCCATTAACTTCGAGTTTTTTTATCGAAGTTTAGTAATTTTCTTCATTTAAAAAAACTTTTCTTGGCTTATTTCAGATGCCCCTGATGATGCTGTAGAAAGCGAAAGTACTTGGGCAAGATTTGATTATTAAATTTGTGCTCGATATTTGCCTTAATTTTTCAACGTACATCCTAAAATGTCCATCATATTATCCTTCATGATCCATATTTCACATCCGTATAAATAGTTATACAGTATATTTCATCATCATCATCATCATCATCAATGGCGCTACAACTCTTCGTAAGTCTTTGCCGCGGTTACTATTGCCTTCCATGTTTGTCTGTCCTGTGCCAGTAATTCCCATTGTCGCTCTCCCATTTTCTCTAGATCTAGGAGTATATTTACATATAACAAATTAAATCCTTAGTTGTAAATTTTTGAAATAAGTACTCAGTATACATCTAAGTTTCATAAATGCTCCTCATAAATCTCATAAATCTAAACTTTTGTAATCCGTTCTTTGTTGACAATTAGTTGCATAGGACCGACGTTTACTAACCACAAGCACACAAGTAAATTATCTTATTTCTTTCATTTGACAATAATAATTGTCTGTTAGATTAGCATTGTAAGAAGTAAATTAGTCTCTTACTGAATATTAATAAACAACACATCAAACTTATTCTGAAACTATTTCTTGTGTCATGTTATATTTTATTAGATTTTGGTGTAATAAACCACAACCTATCAAATTCAATATCAAAAATCAAAATTGGAAATGATAGCGTGACTAAATTATTCCTTTCTTCAAGAAATTTTAAAAATAACTGATTCCTATTACTATCCAGTGCAAGGACAGTTATTTTGTTATTTATATCGAATAGAGAATACTGTTAGTTTGCGGTATGGACCCCAAAAAATATTTTATTCGAAAAGATTGATAAATATATGGAACTGTGGGAAAATATGCTACAAAAATTTCAAGATTTTTATTATAATTTTTATATGAAACACCTTCTGAAGAAACATTAGACACAATTCTATATTTATATCGTTTCATTTTATCAATTTTAATGATCGTGATACTAATCAAATTTTTATGATATATAATAATAATCTTTTTTTATAATTTTTATTTTCCGTAAACTTTAATCTACGTTAAAATTCAGACAGCCAATTTTTCCGTAAAAAATAACAAATAAATTATGTATGTACATTTGTTACATTGTAAATTTATGAATAGATTATATTTATTACTTTGATCTGTTATTATATTTACTCAAAACACCACTAAAGAGATTTATGGTTTTATTGTAAGCCAAAACCTGTCACTGCAGAGGTTGTCCCGGTGTATAATCGGCTCGAGTAAAAGATGAACGCATTTGTGACCTGGGCTTGAGAGAGATATCTAAACGAAGTTTAGAATATTACTTCATGAACAGATTTTGTTTTCGTAAAGAAAGAAATTTTTGAAATAGAGATAGCAAACTGAAATTTACCGTTAGGATTTTCGAGGATGAGCCTTAAAAAAGACAACGGTTTCGATGCAAGATATGCCTAAGTCTATCTAACCTTAACAATTACATTTTCATAAAATCAGAAATACCTATCTCTCAAAATATATTTTAAATTAGTTACAAAAATGCTTATTTCTACTTTCAGGAGATCTTTCAGAGCCATTTAGAACTAACAGAGGACTGCGCCAGGGATATGGGCTATCATGCCGCTGTTCAACCCAGCGTTTGAAAAAGTTATGAAATAATCAGGAATAAATTTAACAGGTATGATATATATCCGTAGTATACAAATAATGGCATATGCTGATGATATCGTGATCATTGGAAAAACCCGAAATGAAGCAGTTGAAGCTTTTACACGTATCAAAAACACTGCAGAAAACATAGGACTTCTGATTTATATCAAGAATGCAAGAAAATATAACAGATGCAACACGAAACTATAGAAACGCTGGAAGAATTCTGCTACGTAGGATTACTGGTAGACTGCAAAAACAACACATCCAAAGAAATAATGAAAAGAACGTTCATGGCTAACCGCTGTTGTTTTGGCCTAGGCCCTCAAATAAGAGATAGAAATATGTTAAGAGCAACAAAATGCAAACTTTATAAAACAATAATACGCCCAGTGCTCAGTTACGGATCGGAAACATAGGCAATGATGACTCGAGATAATGAGTTACTACGAATCTTTATTTACTACGAATTACAAAGGCAAGGAGCCTTTGTAGTTGCTCCATTTGTTAAGTTAACAGCTTCCAGTTTCTATTGAGCTTTACCAATTTATGACGCCTAGTCCTCTTTCTTTATTATTTCCACTAGCTTACCCTACTATTCAATTCTAAGTATTCATAGTTTACTTTAAATTATTTAGAGATAATACTATCTTGAAATTACTTACCTAGTTGATTTAAAACATTATATAGCTGTTGAGCTTCTTCATCTAGACTTACGTTTAACATGGTCGTATCTTTAGGTACCAGCGTGTCATCTAAACCACTAGAAGAAGATATAGATGTGTCTTCTAAGCTAGACGGTGTTTGAGATTCCACCATTGATGCACTTTTAATATTACTGGAACTTTGAGTTTCCGCAGGATATACTGAAAATTTATACAAATACAAAAAAAGGTTTTGTTTCTTTTTTATTTAATATTAAACATTTTTCCTAGTTTCCAATGTTAGGTTTAAGAAAATATTTAAGTCTCTCTCGATAGGATTTGATGAAATTTCATAACAGCTCGCGATATTACTCACCCACAGCAATACAAGAAATTGGTTTAATAATGTCTCCGTACCCGTTTCCTTATAAATTTACGACCGAAAAGATGTGTAGGCAAATACTTAATATGACCAATCTTATTCCAAATCTGAAAGTATGTCAGTTACGCATCTCTCAAGCTCAATCGAGCTACAGTCAAACCACTCAGGGAGATTGCTTAACCACGAATTGTTACGGTTCTTCTGCCTTTCATTTTGCTGCGCATTATATTCCTTAAAAGTTCGTATTTTCACCTCACAAAATGTGTCAAAAATATTCCAGCTTCCTGATTTTTATTGAATGTAAACCTTCATATTGTTTTCCTAGTTGTTCGAGAACTTGTTCGTTTGTTTTGCGATCCGTTCATGATATTTTCAGAATACGTCGGTAACGCCACATTTCGAATGCTTATAGGATTTTAACGTTTCATTGTCTCAGTATCCAAGCCTCAACTCCACAGAAAATTATTAAAAGTTTACCGTGCAACTTCTATGAAGCACCTAATTTCTTTTGAAGTTAATCGGCAACTCCACAGAAAATTATTAAAAGTTTACCGTGCAACTTCTATGAAGCACCTAATTTCTTTTGAAGTTAATCGGTGCCTTTTGATTTGGTTTGAGTCTTCTTACAAACTCCTTCTGATGACGGGAAAACCCAGAAACGCGTGTCAGGGAGTGGTAAGAGACTCAAATTAAATCGAAACGCAACCTTCTTCGTATATTTATCGTCCTTACTCGACGCAATGTGTACAAGAATTATGATAATTTATATGGGTAAATTGTTGGTGCATAGTGGAATATAATTTATTCCCAGCACCACTCTGAATGGCTTGATTAAGCTTTTGTATACAGTTTACTTTAATTGCTATCGACGTATCTTCATCTTTCCTCACTAGAGGTCTCTAGTTGCATACTCTGGCAGTTATTTTCATGTAATTGCCACAGTAATCGGTGCGTTTTGATTTGGTTTGAGTCTTCTTACAAACTCCTTCTGATGACGGGTAGACCCAGAAACACGTGTCAGGGAGAGGTAAGAGACTCAAATTAAATCAAAACGCAACCTTCTTCGTATAATTTCTTTTGTTTGATCGGTATCTTCCTTGATCCATGCTGCCAGATTTTTATTCGAGGATATTTGCTCAATTTCTGTATTATCTAGTAGTAGTTTATCTCTTATGTTTTGTGATTTCGTAATTACCATGAACTTAGTTTTCTTCATATTTATTTTTAATCCATAATTGTTGCAATGCATATTGAGTTGTTGAGCAAGCTGTTCAACTAAGAAGCCGGTGTCGTCAGCATATTGTTACGATAAATATGACTCATGCCCTAAGCTGTAAACATATTTTTCTAACACATTGCATTCGAGAAGGTTCAAGAAAGGTCACAGCCGATTCTAGGGAACTCCAGATAACGGTTTTTATTATAAACAGTAGTCTAAAAAGAATAATTGTATCTAGTCGAGTTTGAATTGTAACGCGGAAATAAATGTAGTAAATAAATTATATAAATTAGAATAGTGTCAATGGAAAATCAATTAGTGTAAGATAATAATATATTAAATAAATTAAGACTCTAATAAACTAAGTGTTATTAAATTGTATTTATAAAAATAGTTCAATATCTTATGTTAATGAGTCGGTCACCGTGCATTATTAAGGCATCACTTCGTCCAGCGCTAATTCACAGATGGCTTCACTATATAAATGAAACTACAATGGTGATGGTGTAATATATAAAAAGACATATTTCAAATATATTGGGATTCATAAAAAAATCTTTTGATTTACATAGGACAAACAGTTCCTTGATAATCTAGTTGTACTTTTTAACAACATATATAATAGCGGTAAAATCCCGGAGAATTGGCTGCAGTCAACATTTATTACAATCCCGAAGATTAAGTAATTATCCTTCAAAATACACTGTTCACAAAATACGTTTTATGAGTCATATCAGTTATTTTAAGAACCAGCTGTACATCACAGATATAACTTCTAAGACGTGCACACTGCTACGTTTGCAGATGATGCTGACATGATGTAAACGATTCTTTTTTGCCCAGGGATCTGAGTGAAGATCACAACAATAACCATACCAGAGAAGAACATCTTTGGTACGATATGGGTGGCGAAAGTAACAACCCCTACTTTTAAGGTTGCAGTAAAATTAACTAGCACGATAACGTCTAACTCCATTCTCTCTCCTGATACTGACAAAAAATGTAGTGCGTAGAATCTTTTTAAGTAATTTTAAACTGTTTTGTCCTTGTGTTAGTATAGTGTTTTGTACAATTTTATGTTTCCATACATGTTTATCACATTCTACGCTTGCTGGATAGCTCATATTTGACGAAATGCCCCTGAAGATGCTATTTTAAGTGAAAGTACTTGGGCAAGATTTAATTAAATTTGTGCTCGATAATAGCCTTATTTTTCAAAGTTCATTTATTCGAGCATTCAACCTCATATCAATTTTTTATATATTTATTTCGCAGCCACTGTTTCATATCTTTCAGAGTTGCGGATTTTGTGCCCGCATACAGTGAAGTTATAATACCCACATACAGTGACAACATCAAAATAAGCAAGAATATTCTGTTTTGAACTGTTATAGTGATGCCACAGTTATATACACAGACGCATCTAAATCAATAGAAGGGACTATTTTCTCCCCTCAGGAGGTTCTGAATTTAAGTACAAATATTCCAGTTTTCAATTTTCTCGGCGGAACCATTGGCCGTACTCGAAGCTTTGAAATATGTTAAAAACTCTTATATTAAAAAATCGTTAATTCTTTCAGACTGTCTTTCAGTTCTATAGAACATAAAAAACACTTTTTTGCCCAAAATATTTAGTAATCCTTATATTATTTTAATAAAGGATCAATTAAAGCACTTAACAGCCTCTGGCTTTAATATAAAATTTATTTGAGTTAAGGCACATATTGGACTCAAATATGTAGATTACTTAGCTAAAACCAGTATAATATCAGGCACTTTATTGTCATATTCTTTATGTGTATCAGATGCCATTACGATTAAAAAAAAAACAGCTATCGACATGAAAAGATCAATGGAATCTTTACTGCTTTACAAACCATACAAGATACACCACTTTATAACCAGTTATTCCACAAACTACTTGGTTTAAGAATTTTAAATCTCCACGAAAATATATAACCACCATAAATAGACTAAACTTTGGATATGCGTGCTATCCAAGTCATTTATATCGAATAAGTATGATTTAAGATGATAATTGCAAACATTGCGGAAAACTGGGGGATCTTGATCACATTTTTTTGAATGTCCTAAGTTTCGGCAGCATTCAAACTCTCTCTACAGAAAATTGATCGAATTTAATATGTATGCACCATTCAATATCCAGTCGCTACTGGCTACAGGCTCATAACAAATATATAACATCATTATAGATTTTTTGTCAGACACATGCACAGTTCTATAGAATTTGAACGCGAGCATGGAATTTTTCATGACCGTGTGGAAGTTTAGATTTGTATCATTTGTTTATCTTAAATGTTATAACACCTTATCCGTGGTCCAGTTTTGTTTGTCTACTAAGAATGTCTTGATGGGCCCCTAGACGAGAAACAAGTGATCCTGTAAGTTTCCTTGTCGTATATTCTTCTATTAATTATCCGTTTTTTTCTTCTATTTTTCTATTAGGGATAGGGTTGTGCATTTGTCTGATTAGAGAATCTATTGCAACTGGCCGAATGACTAATGTCTATGCAATTAAAAAATACTTCGGATAGACACTGACACACGTTCTAAAACAAACTGAGGGTCTCTCTATCCTGGCCCATGAAAAAGGATCCACAACGCATCTCAAGAACAGAAACTAAGTGGACTTGGGCAGCCTGTACATAAAATGTAAGATCTACAAGCTACAACAATTATCGGTACACTAAAACCTAAATACAGTATTTTCTCTGTTATTTACCAACAAAATATCTCGAAATTTGGACACATTATTCAAAATTATGTTGCCTTTAAACTGATGGTTTTACTTTTTAAATTTTTTTGAAAGTTCTTTTGAAATATCGGATTATACAGTTTAACGTTCTATTATAACCAAACTTTTTACGCCCATCATTTGAAAGAGTTTTTTTTCTGTAATCGTTGGTTTTTTTTTTCACATTTTTATGTCCAGTAATAATCGAGAAAAGCGTGTTCAAACTTTGAAGAAAATTGCTAAAAAATACTGAAATCTAATAGTGAAACGTGTTACTCATCATTGGCATTTAGTTTCACCGTTATCGGCTGCGTGACGTCAAATCTCATGAACGTACGGTCAGTTAGTTTGATTTGAAATCAATTTCAAGCTATAACTGCGAAATTGTTTATTTGTTTGTGACAACAAATTGTATTAATTTTTTTTTTTTGATAATAATATTTTTATGTTATTTTAAATTTATTATAAATAAACACCATGATGTTTTTTGCAGTCACGTTTCACAAATTTATATTCAATACTATATTTAGCTAAGACATATAAATTAAAAATGTGATAATTATTTTTAAAACATCTACGATAATCAAACAAAAAAGGTATTCCCGACAAAAGTAATTTGAATGGAGAATAATGCATTTGTTGTCATTAAACCACTTGCCGGTCGGCGCCACTGCGAAAACAGCTGTACCCGTCGTCGGCTGGCGTAAGCAGTGAGGAAAAGTAGGTAAGTGATACGCCCATTTCAAATCGCAATGTGTTTTGACTGCTAAAACAGCCTTAAGTAAGTTATAGTAAAACAAATACGTTTAATGTTTTAGTTTTTGAAAAAGTAAAGTATTTAGTTTTTACTTTTTCACAAATCCACATCTAACAAACAAAAAACTACAACTATAACAATTACCTGAAGCATTTAGCTTATCCACTACATTTTTTTCTGAAGAAAATACAGCTAATCTGTCTCCTAAAGCTTGTTTGTATATTAAATGGGATTTGGTTGGTGGAAGATTAACATGTTGCAATTCCAATAAATGGTCTATTTGTGAACTCATTCCGTTATTTCGACGTCTTTGTTTTTCATCTTCCCATATGGCTGATATTCCAGGATTTGCTGCTATTTTACCAGACGCTATTTCTAATCTGTTAATGATGAATTAAATCAAACAACAAATACTTTTAAAAACTATTTATCAAAAGCATATACATATATATTAGTATTTGAGCTAATACCACTGTGGTATTATCCCTAAAATATTATAATTCATATAAAGAATAAGTTGAAAAGAAAAAGTGTAACATAGTTTTGCATTTTGTTTATATAAAATATATTTAATAATTTGAATCGAAGACATTCATAAATATACTCGAATTAGAATTTGTAAGTCAGCACTATTGCCAATCAAGACATACGGTTGTCGTAGGTCGTTAAAATAAACTTGACATACTAAGAAATAAACTGCTGATATATGCAAGGTCTATTATAAAAGAGACAACAATCATTATCACGAGGATCAGAACTAATTTGACGTCAAGATGGCAAGTTAATGTATCGTGTATTGATAGTTATGAGGGAGTCTCATATCAACTTCACATAAGTACGAACTACGATTAGAATAAGTAATGTTATGTAAAAGTGTACTATTTGTTCCAAATAAATGGTCATTTAATTTAACAACCACCTTATTTACCATTACGACGATATTTACCATACCACTAATTGGAACAAAAATATTTGTTTCACATATCATGCCCTATATACTATTACCCAAAAGACAAAAGACTTTTACTATCTAGGATACGCTGATGATATTAGTATAAATAAGAGAGAGTGATAGTCAATGCTCAAAAAATATAAATCGTCAACTTCACAAAAAAGATAATATTACAAGGACTAAAACTACTGGTGCTGGGAGAAGCAGAGATTTCGTTTTCCAAAAAAATAAAATACCTGGAGTATATTTTGATCATAGGCTTACACGGAATACTCATGTACTGAAAAAAAGAAAGCCATTATGTCTTCTGCAGATGTAGAAATGTAAAAAAATGTGCAGTAACAATTGGGGGCTCAACTCCAAAATGACCCTATGGTTATATACTCAATAATAACTTATGGGTCTGTGAAGTGGTGGATAAAGGCGCAGCAAGTGAGAGCTATAAGGCTGCTAAGTAATACATAAAGGCTAGAATACCTATGTATTACGGAGGCCATAAAAAATGATGCAAAGATAAATACATAGTCACCGAGTGACAAATAATTGTACGAATAACCCAGTCACACGACATGGCAAGTATACGCAAGTGACGATTATTCGCCAAGTACGAGTCGTTTGAAACCGGCTTATGAATGTCACAATTTTCTAGGAGGAACTAACGGCAATCTATCATTGCGTGGAAGAAATAGAAAGGCAGAAAAGAATGCACCATTCAATTGCCATCTTCATCACAGATAGCCAAATAGCGCTTAAGGCACTCAATTCTGTATAGGTCAATAATTGAATATTTAGAGAATTATTCTAAGCTAGTATCTGATTGTGTGTTGATAAATAAACTAGGAGACCGTAGCAAGGATACAGTAGCCTGGGTAACGGGGCACGAGGGTCATATGGGCAATGAAAAAGTAGATATGGCTAAAGAAGGCTCATCAATGCCATTCGTTCGACCGGAATGCTCATCTAAAAACACCTTATCCTAAATTTTAAGATACAAATTATGTCAACTTAGAATCACCCTATTATTAAGCGTCTTATAAAACTAGTATGGTGTTGTAGGTATTTTAAAACTCACATTGACATGTTACACTTCAGGAGAAATTAGGTTAATTTAAGATCAGATATATTGTAAATTAGATATGTGTTAAGTAAATCCTTGGTATCTAAGGTTATGTAAGATGTTCCGATCCCATGAACATGACTTGTTACCGTTCTGTTCATTACTCTACCAAGCTGTTTCAAGATGAGGTGGACTTTATTATTTTCAATTTCTCCGAATAATATAAATAAGTTGGACTTTTAGCAATCGGTTTGTACAATTTGACAAAGAAAGATTTAAAACATTAAATAAAGAAAAAAATTCGATTATATAGTATTATTTTTCAAAAACGCATTATAAAATAAATAAAGCAAATATTATAATTATAATTTGATCTTACCTATTTAGTATATCTTCCGCAAAACAATCACCTTCTAATTCACAAACAGTTATTCTTTTCACACTTTCTGAAAGATATAACTCCGGACTAATAACAACTTGATCACTGTTTGCATCAAGCCCTCGTCTGTACTTTAATTTGGAAAGATTCATGTTACTCATACCATGCAAATTATAATCCATCATAAATTGTAAAGTAAAATTTAGGTGGGCTTCGTGGGCTTGATATATATTGCCCAGTGTACTTTGATTCATTACCAAACTGGTAACTTTTCTTACGAGCAACGGATTGTACAGATAAATTTTGAAAAACTGATGTTCTTTTGAATGGTATCCATACATTGGTCTAAAATAATACATCATCAATGAGTTTTTAAATAAACATTTTAAATAATATTTTGTATTAATAAAGAATGACTGAATGAATTATTTAAATCTAGGTTTTCAATGTTTAACGAGGAAGTAAAATGAAAAACCTACGAAAGATTAACTTTACAGATTTCGACTGTATTGTCCTCATTGAATGCCTTAACCTTCTGCCTCTTCTTAACCAATCATAAATATTAAACGAAGCATGTCTCAAAAGTATCTGATCGATGATCTCTTCTTCGTCATACAGCTCGTAGTAACCTTGTGAAGGATAGCTCTTTTAGACAACAGTAGGAACGAGGAACTTTTGGTGGAAGTGCGTGTGTACTGTTCTTGGATGACTGTCAAAAAGATGCTCCCCTTTTATAGATGCCAAGGCTGTTCTATAGTGTTATTTGAACATAACGAGACTAGCATTTTTACTATATTTGGTAAACGGTTGTCGCAATTCTTAACTGACCTGCTGCTATGGTTTATATTCGGGTTAAGTTCTTTTTCGGTTTTTCTTCGGATTCGGTTTCTATTCGGGTTAGTTTCTTTTCGGTTCATTTTTGGATTTGGCTCATATTCGGGTCTTATTTGGTTTTTATCAGATCTCCGCTATCTTTAAAAGAAATTCCTTTTTGGACAGAGGATAGATCCACGACGTACCTTTCGTGTCACGTGCTACTGAGTCTGTCTCTGTAATGGAGATGGAACGGGCCGATCAACACTCGATCCGGCGAAGAGCGGAAAGAGAGGAATCAATACTTAGTCACGGGAAAGAACAGGTCCAATAACCTAGGGCCAGTGGAGTTATTATCAGATCAACACTCTGACTGAACTCCAGACGGATGGCCTCCAGTCAACACCCAGAGGTCCTGAAGAAAAACTTTTGTGAAAGTGCTTATATACACACATATCGGGACGAACGCGATTGCACATCGTTACAACCTTCCAAGTAATACCAATTCTACCAAGCAAAAAACTGCACTGAAGCAGTTCTTAAATTTAATTTATATAATTTGGACATATATAATCAAGGACATAGAGCATGGCACCTTCATATCCTCGAAACGTTCCTTTTTAACTCGTTCAATGCTAAACTTAAGCGGAATCCGACTCAGGTTACATTCTAAGAGATATCGGTCGTCGCTTGTCATATTTGGTAACAATATATTAAGCTAAGTTCGCCCAGAAAGTGGTTTTTGTTTCTTTTTATATTTGTATGTTATATATTATATTTGAATATATATATATATATATATATATATATATATATATATATACAAATGTTCCAACATTTTTTTAACTATTCCTCAGTCTAAAAACTATTAAAAGTATATTTAGTAATATATTTTACAGTTATTTACGTTTTTCTTTAGATTTTCCAAACAAAAGCAACCATAACTTATGCTATGTGCTGGTACAATTTTCTTGTGTATGTAATTTTTATGTTTTCTGTTTTAATTTTTTACCTATTATTTCTCACTGTATTTACTTTCATATTTACTTTTGAAACAACAATTACAATGAATGATGTTCTTTCTGTAAAACAATTCACAAAAGAGTTAAATAGAGTTTTCCATATGCTGCGCCCACCCAAGTACTATTCTTCTCTTCAGTTCATGGGTCTGATTATCCCTACCAATCATAATTTCATGTTCTAGATATTTATATTTATCTACGAGTTCTACTTCTTGCCCACCAATACTGATGTTCTGGTTGGGTACCAAATTTGACAATATTCTTTTTTCGAGATGTTTATATTTAAACCTACATTTCTCAATCCACAATCCTCAGCCATTATGACTATATCATCGGTGAAATTTAAGTTTTCTGCGAGACAAAATAAAAAATTAAGAGGTCAGGAGAAGAACCAAGGTCCCTGACGTTATCGAAAGGATAGTCAGACTAAAATGAAGATGGGCATAGCTGGAATGACGGATGGGCGATGGACAAAGAGGTTATTGGAATGGAGACCAAAGGAAGACAGGAGAAGCATCGGTAGACCACCTAGACGAAAGGCTGACGATTTTAGAAGAGAAAATAAAAACTGGATGAGAATGGCGCAAGATAGACGTGGTTGGAAACACGAGGAAGGGGTATATGTTCAGCGGTGGACTTTTGAGGCTGCATGATAATGATGACATGCTCATAACAAATATTAACTGTAACTTAAAAACAAATAATTATTCAAATTATTATATATTAAATAATAATAAAATAAAACTGCATGAATTAAACAATAGTCTCATGTCTCATACATCTCAGTCTCAACATGTAAATGTGTGATTAGTATTTACAAACGGACAGTTATTAATGAAAATTGATGTATATACACTCCCAGTATTCTTGATTACTCTTCTTTTTTTCAACAAAAAAGGCTGCAATACTAAGTGTGTTTGGGTTAATAAAGGTGAGAGGTAGGAATTTTTTATGTTGCATGTTTCCAATAACGAATCTGTCAAAATATTGCCAAGCTGGGCGAACATACTATACTACAATTTTATTTAAGTGGTTAATCTATACAAATATATCTATACACATCATCATCCAGCCGAATTTTCACATCCATTGTTGGATATAGGCCTCCTCCAAACGTCTCCAGTTCTCTCTATCTCTAGCTGCTGCAATCCAGTTTGTTTCTATTCTCTTTAGGTCGTCGGTCCATCGGGTGGGTGGTCTGCCTCGACTTCGCTTGTCGGCTCTTGGTCTCCACTCCAATAATCTCTTCGTCCATCTTCCGTCTTCCATTCTAGCAACATGTCCATTAACAACCTAACCTAACCTAACCTGTGCCTATACACAGGCATATGGAAATATGTACTAGAAGGGGAAAAGTCTGGTGAATATTGAGATGATGAAAAATATTTGAACAATTTCTGCATGCTACAAAACTGTCCCTTATAGCTGTTTTGCTAAGCACTCTATTTCTTATTCTGTTTGAATATATAAAGGAAGAAATATAGGAAATAGATTAGATCAATGTTAGAGGTACATTTAAATAAAGATACATACATTCATATTAACTGGAAGAGATTTGAATATCTTTCATTGATTTTCCTACAAATAGTTAACATACCAATAAGTAAATAATTGGACTGCAACTTCATCATAAACTATATAAATTTTTATATACTTTTATATATAAAAAAAGACTAACAAAAGAGAGTAATAACTTAAAGGCATCCAATAAAACAGCAGTAACTCCGAATTACAGACAAAAAATCTATACAAACTAAAAAATCGGACTGTATATGACTAAATATACTTTAAGTTCATAGGGTTTAAAAGTTTCAGTAGACTTTTAAAAACCACAATTCATATAACTCAGATAATGTATAAAATATATTAGGAACTGCCTTTTAGTGGACTAAATATATAATAAGACATCCTTTCAGTTGTATGTTTCAAAAACAGTGACAGATACATGGGAGAATGAGGAAATCCACCCTCCCCCCAAGAACAACCAAAATTAAAGAAAAACTATTATTTATGTATTTTATGTAGTTTCGGTTTATCTTTTTTATGTCTTTTGGTTGTTATTTCATGGGAAGTTCCACCTTAAGGCAAATGTCTAGATCTGCCACTTCTAGAAAAAGTCTATTCCCAATTTACATAGATATTAACTGTTTATGATATATTTACAAATTATAAATAAATTATGATATATTTTAAGGTAACATGTTACACCTTCATAAAGTGTAGCTCAAAATGTCAAAAAATGTTGGAAAAATGTTACACTCAAAAGTTATTTTTTATATATTGGTACTGATAGTGAAAATTTACTTACATTCCTGATACTAAAGAAATTTTGTAAACATGTTGCATTGTTGAATTAGCTTGATTTAATGTTATGTTGACTGCCTTATCAATAGAAGCTGCTATTTTATACATTAAACTATTTGCATCTTGGGAACCATCATGAGGAATATAAATGTAGGGAAAGACTCCATGAATATGTACACAAATTTTTTCACCTAAAAGTAACAATTACCTTAATCTGTATAAACTACACAACTTTATAATTACAGAACAATTATCCAAACACACAAAAAAACATTTCTGTATTTGTACAAAAAACTATTAAATTTACTAGTTTGAGGGTACTAATATAATGTTCCATAGTTGATTGCTCCAAATTCTTACATTAACACTTTGCAGTCGTTGTCATGAAATCATAACACCTTTAAAACTTATATAAATTTACTAACAATTTTGCCCATAGGTTACCTGACATGTTACACATGAAAATTGTAAAACATGGATTTAGAAGTTGGTACCTCTAGCATGCTGTAAATATAAAGTCTTATAACTTGTTAACCATTCAATAGATGCAAATTTTAAAGGGATATTTGAATTGTTTAATAGATTTTAGTTGAGAATCAGCCATATCGGTTTTTCAGCAAATCCTGGTAATTGTTTTGAATGAAGTTATGTTTGACATTAGAGAGAAGTGTTTATTAGGAATTCTGTTGATTTTAAAAAGATTGTGCTGGTATTTTTAACATAAGTAAAAGAAAATATTTAACTCAGGAAGAGTTAGAGACTCTAGTATCTGACATAGATAACTCAGATACTTATATTACAGAAAATGAAATAGATTCAACCTTGTCTGAAGATGCTTCTTGAAGAAATTTTAGAATAGAATGGATCAGTTAAAGATATAACCATTACAGAAGATAATGATTTTTGGGAACCATGGAAGGATAATCAACTAAGATTTAAAAGTTATCTGTCTATCTACTTCTGTTCTTGCCCTGGATGTACTACTTTCCACCCAGACAATTGTTTTCAAAAATACCATACATTGCAAGATTATAACTGAAACATTGATTGATTCTTTTTATAAAGAATTAGTCCATAATAAAGTTTAACTTAAACTTAAATTAAATTTGCATTTGAAATATGCTAATAAAAGTTAGCAATAAATTGTAATATGCAGTTTTGAAGAATTGTAATATGAGAAGTTTATTTGAAACAAATGAGAGTTTGCTCACATAACACATAATTCAATTTTAAATTTAACCCTTCACGGCACGGGTGCGTGTCTGTGAGACAAGCCAATCATATTTTTACAATTTGCAAATAGACCCGTTAGTTCTAATGCGCGGGCACTTGAGTAGCTGCATGAATTACAGCGTAGTAGCATATGCGTCAGGCCGCAGTTTGATTCTAACTCTATGAGAGTTTGTGCAGTGTATTTTTGTCCATGAGACATAACCCGAGCTTTGCAGTTACAAAGTCGAGAAGCAGTATGTTAACTCAAACTATTACTGTAACTTCTGTTGAGACAAATTTTTATTATTTTAGGTAGAAAATCGTTTTAAAATGGATCCTTATTTAGCAGAAATACCTAGACTACACAAGTTGTATGATGAAGTATAAGCCGAGGATGATTTAGTAGAGAAAGGCTTATCTGACTAAGAAGACGACATCTATGAAACATTATACCATAAAAGTGACAAGAAGAAGAACTAGATTTTGAAGATACTCCAGAAATTTCGGCTAGCACTACCATCTGTAGAGGTAGTAATAGACACCTTTATTATACAGCAAAAGATGGTGAAAAAAATAAACCTAAAATTATCACATTTTACAACATCACAAAAGGTGGTGTAGATGTGTCAAGATTGTGTTACACAAAATTTTGAAGTTTGAAAAATATTTGCAAAAATTTACCATTGTTGTCTTTTTTGAGGTTTGCTTGTATCAGTTCCAAATAAAGAATTGTTGTTTGTTTAAATTGATAAAATATGTTTTATGTAATAAAAAAAGGTAGACAATAAAAATTGTTTCATAAAAAATTGTTTTTTTTCATTTTTTGTAAAATATTTAAATACATAATGTGTGTCTCTTAGACACCACCTGACCTTTAGTGTAAAACAAATTCAACTGTGCTGCGAAGGGTTAACTGAGATGTTAGAAATATTAGATTGATAAAACAGCCACGATGAAATCAGTGCACTCTCATGTGTCAAGTAGTTGGTATAGTTCATACAAATAGTTCAGTAGGTGTCATAGGTAATACATGCCAACAACTTGGTAAGTCACTTTACTCATCACATTTAACTGCAACTACTAAGTATATGGGAAACATTGGTGTTACGATAACGTTGAATATCAATAAAATAAATTAAATAATTAAATCAATGTAAAGTGACTACCTGTGGGGATAGATCCAAATAATCTTAAAACAGGTACTTGATTAACAAGATATCCTCTAAATTCTGAGTATACTACATCTAATCCTGGAATGGGACTAGCCATATATGAGTCTAAATTAACAATTCTTATTGCCTGAGGTAAGGCAGAAATAGAATGTGGAATACTATTACTTTGTGAACTCATTGCATTTCTTGAATAATACCTATTGTATATTAGCCAGCAATATTTCAATATATTCAATTCATTTAGTTCTTTTTAAAATATAAAATCATGATAAAAATATAAAATAAAATTTCAAAAATCTAAAATCAGATTAAAATTTGTTTACATTGATTAATTAAGGTTAAAATTTGAATTTTTGTCTTCTTCTTCTATTTTATTTAGTTATCAATACCACCTGTCAACAAAGCAATGTTATAATTTCGATTATACCCGCTTCGTCATAGGCGGAAAATTTTTAATTGTTATAGGATTCAATCGCAATTTTTTTTTGTTGGTCAACTTTCTTCAAATAAAGTTTAAGTTATAAAACCTTAATAACGGTATTTAAGTAGATCGGACATATTTAATTATTGATTTACACCATTATTATATGAATTATTTTCTGTTGGAAAAAGTAAAATATATACTATCTTAACATCTGTAGGATATTGATTTTAAAGTGATTACAACTGTTGTTTTTTTGACTGGGTAAATGCTTAAAAATAATTTTCGAGTTTTAGAGCGGAATAGAGAAAAGTGACGCAGTTAGCAGTATCGTGTAGACTAGCGGGAAACTTCATATTATATTTTCTGTATTTTTAAATTTTAAATAATATTTTTAAAACTGAATATAGTAATTTTATTATTTACTTATTATTTTTTTACGATTTTTTACAATCATCGATTTACAAAGTTGCAATGTTTTTTAATCTATATAATCATCTCCTTTCAACTATTTATTTTATTTTATATTGTAACATATAATATAACACTGTAAGTAAAGTTTATCTAAAATAATTTCCTTTATCTAAAAAATCACTTTATTCATTCTGATTTTTTAAACCCAATAATTTCCAATTGTCTCCGCCCATGAAAAAACAAAAATTAAAGTAAGCTCTACATAAAAACATTCGACAATCAGAAGAAGTCAAAGTCAAATTCTGTCTGTTAGAATTTGAAAGTTAAATATAACGGTTCTCAGGAAATATTTTTACCAGTTTTTATATTTTATTAAGTTTTTTACAAATCGTCCTAGAGTAACCGTTAATTATGTCCCAATTTAAATTCTGGAACGACGTTAATAGTTTATTAAATATGGATGGCCCTGTTAGTGGTCCTGTTCCTCGTTGGCAAAGGAAAAAAGAATCTACTTCCTCAAATAATAGCTCAAACAATTCATCCAAACTAAGATCTCTGTCATGTTCAGCTTTAAATTCAACAAAAACCCCTGTTAAAGGTTCCGAAAATGATTACCAGCGCAACAAAACACCTTCAAAGACTCCAAAAAAGAATAGGACTCCAACTCCTAATAAAGGTAAACGCAAAAAGTTCTCGAACTTGTGACCACATATTATTTACTCTCTATTTTTTATTGAGTGTTTTATCTTATCAATAAAGTTTTTTTGGTAGACACGTTTAATCTTTGAATAAGTACTTCAAATTTTGTAATTCAGATTTTTTTATCACTCTACTTTTTTTTTGTAATGTTTGTAATATTCTTTCACACAGTGTCAAAGGATCTATTGAAGAAAACACATTTTCTTCATTTTATATTTAAGATAAATTGACTTCCTCTCAATAACCTTTTTCTTTGGTAAGAAGTTATATTGCATAAAAATAATAAGCCTCCTGCTTAAATTAATACATATAGAATAAAAACCTTTATTTATAACTCTAATAGCTCTAACTTAAATAAAAATTCTGAATAGTTCTCTTTAATCTATTAATGTTTTAATATTTTTAATATCTTCTTCTTCACGTGCCATCTCTGTGACGGAGGTTGGCAATCGTCATGTCTATTCTGATCTTAGATGCTGCTGCTCTGAATAGTTCAATTGATGTGCATCTGTACCATTCCATCAAGTTACGCAACCATGAGATTCTTCTTCCTACACTTCTCTTGCCCTGGATTTTCCCTTGTATAATCAATTGAAGTAGGTTGTATCTCTCATTACGCATAACATGCCTCAGGCTTTCATGTCTTGATGGTTTCCAATACTTCCATTCTTTTGTTGATTCTTCTCATGACTTTGTTGTTCGTTATATGTTCGGTCCATGATATCTTCAGGATTCTTCTATACACCCACATTTCAAATGCTTCCAACTGTTTAGCAATCGACGCGTTAAGTGTCCATGCTTTCATCCCATAAAGTAGAGTCTAGAAAATATAACACCTTGCCAGCCTATCAAGTTCAATTTTAGTTTTCTTGCACAAAGTACCTTTCTCATTTTATTGAAGTTTGTATATGCTTTCTCTATTCGAACTTTCATTTCTTTGGACTAATCGTTTTTATGTGATTAATTATTGTGCCAAGATAGTGGTAGTTTTCAACTTGTTCTAAAGCACTACCGTTAATTGTGAGACTTTCACCATTATTTTGGGTTTTTTATATCCTCATAAATTTGGTTTTCTTGGTGTCTATGGATAATCCATATTAATATGTAAATATTAAAAATACTCAAACATATTTGGGGTTATAAATGACCAAGCCAGTACCGCAATAGATTTAACATCGAATTATCATAAGTCTTTAATGAATCTGACATTATAACATTTATTAAAACACAGTGGCACAGTGACAAAACTTGACAAGGTTCTGGAACCAATAACAAAAACTTTGATGATAACATTTGTCAAAATTTGTATATTTAAAAACCTTTGTTGAGAATGATTTCCGGAGTGGAAATTTAAATGTCAAACATTAAGTAGTTATTTAAAAATTTGTTATTAAGTATTTGTCTTTTTAAGGATCGAGGACACCAGGTGGGGATCGATTTATACCATCAAGAAGTGCTAGTAATTTAGACTTAGCCCATTTGAAACTAACTCAGGATGAAGGTAATAAATCAGATAGTCCTACACATAAAGAACTTCAAAAAGCCATGTCAGAGAACCTATATGGAACTGATATCAGTAATCAAAGGATTCTTACTTATAAAAATAAGGCTCCAGCTGCACCTGAGGGCTTTCAGAACCCCATGAAAGTTATTTATACTCAAACAAAGACACCAGCTTCTTCAAAAAGTAGTAGTAGATATATTCCTCAAGCTCCAGATAGAATCCTTGATGCTCCAGACATTGTAGATGATTTCTATTTGAATTTAATTGACTGGGGATCAAATAATGTTTTAGCTGCAGCTTTAGGATCTCATGTATATTTATGGAATGCTGGTAAGTATATAATAATGGCTAATACACCTATGTACAAGATAAGTGCCACCTTTTTATTTATTATACACAGCAGCAACTAATATTTTACTGGTTGCTACTTAGTTCAGAAACAAAATGATTTTCTTTTATTCAAAGTAAATTGTGCTAAGTTGCATGTCCGCTATATTGCATAAGGGTTTTATTACTACATTTAACACACTTTGAGTGATGGTTGTTCGATTCGTCTCTAATTGCAGTCACTTGCTCGTTTAATGTGGCTTGGACGGACTCTCATCTTCGTAACAAGGTCTTTCAGCATGCGTAGGTCGTATGATTGTGCTTTTCTTTTCTGCACTGTTTTGAGTTTGATTCGAAATACTCCCACCAGTGGATAAGTTTTGACAGATGTAAAGTTGTTTCGGAATCTTTTATTTACTAAAAATATATCCCGGGTTTGTCTTGAGGGATTTCCACGTGTACTGTATGTGATACATTACAGTAAATTGATTGACTGTGTGTCAAGAGTGTAGAGTTTGAATAATAAACTTATAAAACTGAAAAAAGCTTGTTATATGACCTTGCTATTGCATTATATTACAGGTACAGGAAACATTGAACAATTATTAGAATTAGAAGGTAACGACTATGTTTGCTCCTTAGCTTGGATACAAGAAGGACATTGCTTAGCTGTAGGAACAACTAACGGTATAGTTTTAAACATTTCTAACATTAAATCATATAACTATTTTTATTTTTATTTTAAAAGGAACTGTTGAATTATGGGATTGCTCAAGATCCAAAAAATTAAGGATTATGGAGGGTCACTCTGCTAGAGTTGGATCTTTGGCTTGGAATTCCTTTGTTTTATCGACAGGTTGCCGTAGTGGTCAAATTATACATCACGATGTTAGACAAAGGGATCATCAGATAGCAACACTTTCTGGACATACTCAGGAAGTATGTGGATTGAAATGGTCTCCTGATGGAAAATATTTTGCGAGTGGAGGAAATGATAATGTATTGAATATTTGGCAAGCAGTAAGTATTTATATAATATCATACTATATTGTTTAAGTTTAAGCAATTATTACACGCAACTTTAGTCGTAGTTACTAGTATTTTTATAGTGTAATTATCATTTGCAATATTTGTTTAAATTTGTTAAAGTATACAAATTTTATATATAGTCGGTCAGATAGTTAAGCGGGTAAGGCGGCCGACTCTCATTCGCTTCACTGTCGAATGGTTAAGTGGATGTGCGTTCAAGCCCTGGCTCGGTGTACAGAAAATTAAAAAAATTAAAAAGGCTATATATATATATATATATATATATATATATATATATATACATATATATATATACACATATATATATATAATATATATATATATATATACATATACATACACATATATACAAATTTTTCTATCGTTCTGGCAATTTAAGATGTTATTATCGAGGGGTTTAGATCTACACAAATGGTGTTTTGTAATGATACATAGCTTTCCATCGTTTAGTTTAGATTTAAAAAACGCCGATTTGCCAATGCTGGAAACTTAGCGCAGCGTGATTAGCGGAAGCTAACAGCTATACATCGGGAAAACAATGTATAAAAGCAATAGTATCAGTTTAAATTAAAAAAAGGGTTTAATGGGCTGTACTGTAGACCAACGCGAAGCTTTATATTAATCAACAAAATTGCTGTTTTTACTATTCTCTTCTTCTTCTTCGCGTGCCATATCAGAATTATCCGACGTTGGCGATCACCATTGCGAAGGCTTCTCGATCTTCTGCAATATGGAATAATTATCCTGCATTTGGTGTCTGAGTCCATTCACGAATGTTTTTAACCAAAAAACTTGTTTTCTTCCTACATCTCTACGGCCCTCTATTTTGCCTTTAAGGATCAGTTGTATAATTTTATATCTACTTCCCCTTACTATATGTCCCAGATAGGACATTTTTCGATGTTTAACAGTCTTTAGCAGTTCTTTATCTTTGTTGACGCTCCTTAGTACTTGTTCATTAGTTTTTCTTGCTGTCCAAGGTATCTTCAACATTCGTCTATGAACCCACATTTCCAATGTTTCAATTTTGTTCATGATCGATACTTTTAGCGTCCACACTTCAAAATAAATACACACAAAATATATAAAAGTACAGACCAAACATAGCACTTAACCATTCTTTGCCTTAGTTCTAAACTGAGATGGTTATTGCAAAGAAATGACTTCATTTTCATAAAAGTAGTTTTAGTCATTGATATTCTACGTTTTATTTCTATGTCTGGATCTTTGGTTGGTCCGTTATCACAGTTCTCAAATATGTCATTTTGTGAACTTTCTCAACTTGGACTCTGTTCAATTGATTTTTGCATCGGGATGTGGGTCACGACCAAACACTAAAATATTTGGTTCTGTTTGAGTTTATTTTAATACCCATGTCCTCTCCTACCTCGTTAATACGATCAAGCAGAATTTGAAGACCTTTAATATTATCTGATAGAATCACTGTATCGTCTGCATATCTAATCACATTAAGTAGTTCTCCATTGATTTTTATTCCATATGGTTGTCTCTCAAGTGCCTTTTAAATAATTGGTCCGATTAAGCATTGAACAATGTTGGCGAATAATGCAGCCTTGTCTGACACCTCGTTGTGTGGGGATCTCATCGGTGTAGTTATCTCCAATTTTTACGATAGCAGTTTGATTCCAGTACAAATTTTTAATGACACGAATATCTTTGTCATCTATTCCGATATTTTTCAGTATTTGCATTAATTTTACATGCTGTACTTTATCGAATGCCTTTTCGAAGTCCAAGAAACATGCAAATACATATTTTCTTTGATCACGGCATTTTTGTAATACGATGTTAAGCGCAAAAAGTACCTCCCTGGTTCCAATAGCATTTCTAAAACCAAATTGAGTATCTTCAAGATCTTCTTCGCATTTGCGTCTAATTCTGTTGTGAAGTATTCTGAGGAAAATTTTAAGAGTGTGGCTCATTAATCTAATTAATCGATATTCTAAGCATTTTCTCGCATTGTGTTTTTTAGGTATTGCGATAAAGATGGATTTGAGCCAATCTGCGGGAATCACTGCGGTGTTATATATTGAACTAAAAAGTCTTACTACTACTTTTATGTTATCATTCTCTATTAGTTTCAGCAACTCAGTTGATGGAACATAATCTGGACCACAAGCTTTTCTAATTTTAGTATTAATTGTAGCATGTTCTACTTCGCATTTCATAATTTCTGGGCCGTCAGTACAGTTTTGGTAGAATTAGGCAATATTATTCCTGTCATCTTCAAACAACTCTGATATATACAGCTGTCATTCTTTTCTTATTTCGTGCTCATTTACAATCATTTTGTTATTAGTGTCAACAAGTACAGAGGGAACTCGTTTTTTAAATATATTACTCATTTCTTTCAGTTTTTTGTGTTCAAATCAAATTTATATTCAGCAGCAGTTTTTTGTATGTGTATCTTTCTTAACCTTTTTCTTTTTTACGTTTCCTATACAAAAAATTATGTAACATTTCCAAAATAAAAATAAACAAATAAAAAACAGTTTTGGCAGTGTGTTGTAACGTGTACCTCGTAGGTACACAAATGGACTCTTCCGCTGTGACTGTATAAAATATGAAAATGTTTTACTAATTCTTTTATTTAAACTCTCTTTGTCGCACTTAAATACAATAGTCGAAGTGTTTAAAAATAACCAAGTTAGCATTAGTAATAGCATTACAAAGAAAACCAGGCCCACCAAATGCAGTTATTTTAGACTAATTAATTTGATGAGCCACACTCTTAAGTCGGAGATACACATGTCTGTTACTAGCACAATGCCATACCAGTAACTAGCAAGCTCCAGCTACCGCTATGGGCATGCCAGTAGATATCTAGAGGATTGTCAGATTTGTTGTGTTAGTGAAAAAAATTAATCGTTTTAATTTTTAACTTGTTAATTTAAAAAATGTTTCATTGGGGCGATGAAAAAACCATTAAATTTATTGCTATATATAAAGAATTTGAGTGTCTTTTGAATTCTAAAGAATCTCTATATTAAAATAAAATAGCCCGTGAAAATGCTTACACAAAAATTGAAGAGGAAATGGGTGAAGGTATTACTATAAAGGAGATAAAGGCCAAAATAAAAAATTACTCCAAGATTTTCTCGCCTACCAATTCAATTTCTCACCCAAATTTTTCTATTTTTTGAGTTCCGCTTCGGATTCATTATTAAATTTCTAACAATATCTGTGGTCATTAGCAATGTTTGCTTGTTAAATTCATTCCGAATACCTTCTATGGATCCCCTTTTTTGTTGCAAACTCAAAATTTTTTTATTGCAAACAAGTACTTTAGTTTCAGATAAAAACCACTCGATTGTTTACTAGCACTGGCATTTCTAAAAATTACCCTGCTTTTTTGCCATGCCAGTATAGGCAAGCGAGCTACTGGCATGCCAATTGCTACGAGCCTCGACCTTTAAAACCGAAGAAGAACTCTCAGTACAAGTGGTTCAAGTGCTTTCAGAATATGTCTATTTCCGAACAAAGTGATTTAATAAGACAGTTTAATAACATTATCTATGGCAATGGTAATGATGCACAAAATAGTTACTTATCTGGACTTACGTCCTGTGTTTCAATGAATGGAAAGAAAAACCGAAGATGCTAGATTGAGTGAAAGCTCCTACAAAGTACAAAGCTATAAAGTAAGAGTTATTAGAAATAGCAGTGCAGCAGAGGTAGGTGCCAGTATGTTTTGAAGCGTTTTAATCACTGTTTTAAATCAAAACGTTCTGATTATATACAATAAAAACATTTTTAAGAACAACTGGCAAAGCGTCGATCGATAAAAGGGGAAAGAACTTTAAGATCCCTTAAGAGGGGATTTGATCGGGTCAAATTAAAGGACGTTAAATAAAAGGATCGGGTAAATCGATCGAAAATATCTACCAAAACAAACAAAATTAAAAGTAGAAGATCTAACTGATCCTATTGAAGCTGGTAATGGGATAAGACATGGAGATTCCCTGAGTCCTCTATTGTTCAACCTGATTATGAATGAAATAATAAAAAAGTAAGAACTAAAAACGGGTACCAAATGGGAGAAAACAACTTAAAACACTCTGCAATGAGCGGACACAATACTACTAACTAAGAGTGAAGATGATTTACAACATATACTGCACCAATTTAATATAACCACCAGAAAATTTAACATCAATTCCCCAAAAAAGACAAAATGCATGGTTATAACAACAAATTTACTAAGATATAAATTGGAGCTGGAAGGTCAGATAATAGAACAAGTGATGGAGTTTAAATATCTAGGCATCACATTATCTAGCTACGGAAAGCTCGAAACAGAAGTGGAAGATCAAGTGAATTGAGCAAACAGAGCCGCAGGTTGCCTGAACGAAACAATATGGAAACATAAAAATATCAGAAAAGAAATGAAAGGCAGAATTTACAAAAGAGTCATCAGACCAATTATGATATATGCATCAGAAACACGACCTGACACATAGAGGACAAAAAGTATATTAGAAACAAATAGAGTAGTAAAGACGGCAAGAGACGGTTCCCCAATAGGAGGACTATCAGTAGGAAGACCACGTAAAGACAATATATCTACCTGTTACTAGGGAAACCACCATAGGTACATTTGCCGATCACAAACAAAATGAAAATCAAAATTAAAGAAACATGTAACTAAAGTGTAACTAAACAACATACAAATACTACAATCCACAAACATGAAATATTTAGAAATTCACCTGGATAAATGACTAACTTGTAAAGAACACTTAACCAAAAAATACAAACAGATTATTAAAAGTAAAAGATATTTACTAATAGAAAGTCAAAAGTATCATTAGAAAATAAACTTCTTATTTATAAAACAATCATAAAACCCATCTGGATATATGGGGATGCACAAGTAAGTCGGACAGCTGTATTATACAAAAAGGCAATTCAAAATACTCTACATGATAACAGATGCACCAAGGCATGTCGTCATTTAAACACTACATGGACACCTAAAATTAGATTATGTTAAAGATGCCATTCAAAGACACAAACACAAAACACCATAATAAATTAGAAGCCCATACAAATTTGCTAGTTCACATCTACAGCCCATACCAGAAGACTCAAAAGAAATTGGCCAGTAAACCTACAAAAGCTTGAAGAAGACTTGTCAATGGAGAAGGCCTTATCACGTCAAACAGCCTCAGTAATGTACTCTAAAGTCACACTAGCCTTTATTGAACATTGTATTCTGATTGTTAATTTAAAAATAATCTTAAAAAAATGTATATTTTACTGGGTCTAACTATAGTTTATTTCATACAAAAGTCTATCATAAATTAAACATGCTGCTTTTTATTAAAATTGTGGACAGAAAATATAAAAATAAACATTTATAATTGTAAGTAAGTGTTCAAGCATTTGAGTTTATACAGGCAGTGTACAGACTAGGAAAATAGTATTGAGGTTCTTCAGGATGTTGTGAATCAATCCAGGCCAGTCCTTGGTTAATCATATGTTCTAAAGCCTTTTCTGCTCTTTGTCTTTCCCAGTTTAGTTCACTGATTAAATGTGATGCAGATACACAAGCTTTATTTTTCTCCGCTTGCTGAAGCAAGACTGAATGATCCATATTAAGTTCACCAGGTACAGATTGGACCTAAAAATTTATTTTATTTCAAGTTTTATCAAACAGACATTTATAATGCAATAATTAACAAACAAAAATAACTTTTAGGGATTATGTTACTTTTGAGAAGGAATAAAACTTGATAATCTAGAACAATGAGAATCAATTACCTCTGGTAGCCAACTATGATGAGATAAGTCATAGTTGGCTACTAGAAACTGGATACCAACTAGTATACACAGACAGCAAACAACTAATATAACAGACAAATAAAAATTATGCGAATTATTATGTGAATGTATATTTTTAGTTTGTAGGCTTCTGGGTTAAAGAATAAAAAAATGTCATCTATTATGATATGTCTGAAAACAATTTTGTACATATAATGCTGGCTTTTCTTTGCATACAGGATAACAATATCTAGTTTCCAGTTTACCTTCCCTTCACTTGTGCTTAGACTGGTGACCTCCGCCTATTAGAAAGAGATGCAAGGACCTGGCTTTGTGTCAGTTTTCTTTGTCGCACTGGTGGGATGGGCCTGTATTGCAGCGCTCAGTCTAGTTTTATTATATGTCTATGGTTCCACAATATTACATTACCCTTAACAACAGTTACATTAACCTTTAACATATATTTTATTTCTTCAAATGTCATAGAAATGGATATGAGGAAGAAACTCTCCTGGTTGAGAAATTTACTACAGTGGACAGGTTTTACAACAGACCAATTGCTACATGTAGCCCAAAACCAAAGTCAATGTAGAAATATTGTAAGCATGGTACTCACTGATGTTCAGTTAGCAGCCAATTAACTGACTGAAATAAATAGTCTCGTTTTTATAGTTGTTCTTGTTTTCTGTTCCTTCACATTGTTCTTTTTCATTGCTTATTGCCCTTCTATATTGTTAGTTCTGTTGCCAATCAACATTTATGTTACTAGTCTAAATAAAAACATTAACTTTTTTCAAATTACAAACATCCCATCAGATAAATGTGTAGAAATGATATTGTATAAGCAAACAATTCAGTAGACAACTAGATTAAGGTCTAGACAAGCATTAAGATAGTCACTGATTTTGGAAAAAGGAAATAGTTCATATTACACTTAACGTAATACTGGAAATTCCTTATACAACATGGAGTATGTCAGGGGGACACCATATCACTGAAACTGTTCACCATTGCACTTTTGGAATATATATGTAAAAGGGCAAAACTGACCAACAAAGGCATAAACATAAATGGAGAAAAGCTAAGCTACCTGAGGTTTGCAGATGATATTTATTTATTTATTTAACCTCCTCTTAAACACAACATGATTGTTATTACATTAAAAGAGTGCTTACTACAGCTAAAAACAACTTTTGCAGACTAAAAATTTGTTTCCAAGGCAATTTTTACTTGTTTCACAGAAGAAAAAAAGAAGAAAAAGTCTATATCATAGTTAATTATCACATGGTTACATTCTTCCAACATCTTATTTATGGGTAAACAATCAGTCTTATTAGTTAAGAACAGTTGTTTGTTATTAATTCTTTATATTTAATCTTTTATCTTTATATTTAATGTGAGTTTCAACATAGTAAATAAAAAGGGCTGAATAAAAATTTCTTCTATTATCCAGTCAGTTGCTGAACTTTAAAACAAGCATTATAGGTAATCATGTATGGATGGATACCAAACTTTCTGACATAAGAAACCTAAAGAATCATTTTTGCACCTTTTCAATCAGATCAACATTGAATTCGGCTTGTAGTGCCCATATAATAGAGGCATACTCCAAGTGAGATCTTACCAGTGCATTATATGATATTAAAGTTTCAAATCTTTTAAAAATTTTGAATTATGAAGCCAAGAGTTCTGTATGCCTTTCCAATGATGATCTGATATTGTTCATTAAATCTCAAATTTTGCTGAAACATTACTCCAAGATCTTTGCAAGAGTTCTTTCTTCCAAGTACAGTGCTAGAAATTTTGTATTGGTTCTCCATGTATTGTGTTTTTCGAGTGATCGTAAAAACATGACATTTAAAAGTGTTTAAAAACATTTTGTTATCATCAATCCATTGACTTACTGAATTCAGATCATATTGCAGCATCTCAGAGTCCTGCAGAGTTGAAATTTCTCGAAAAATCTTAAAATCATCTGCAAACTTCACACAGTGAGGAAAATCAGGAAAATATAGCGAACAGAAGAGGACCCAAGTTGCTACCTTGTGGTACACCTGATGTCGACATAAGTGGCTTAGATAAACTGTTCCCCACTTTAACTTGATTTAACCTATGAAAAATATATGACCTCATAAACATACATGCTTCTGAATCAAAATCAAATTTGCTTAGCTTCTTGGTTTCATATAGACCAAGAGATGATGCATACCGAAGCAGAGATTGTCCACTAATATGTTGAACAGACAGTCTAAAATGTTGCCATAGGATATTGGATGCAAGAGGCACAAAATCGAAACAGATGGACAATTATGATGGAAATCTATGGCCAGCAGTGGACAAACGAAGATTGAATGATGAATAATTTAAGCCAAAATATTAATACTGCATCATTCCCTTTCTTGTTCCTCTTGTTTTGAAAATTTGTCAGAATGAAGTTACAAACTTTTTGATATTTACTATTGATAAAGTTTTTAAACTCTATATTAAATCAATTTATATAATTTAAAATTCAAATTATGTGCAGGTGTATAATTTGCTACTTATTAAAAAATAATTAAACCATATATTTCAGGGAATATTTTAAAAACAAATATGCTATTATCTTTTTGAGAAAAACAAAAATAATAAAATTTACGAACCATATATCTGTCTTTTCCCATGGGTATAACATTAAATCCATTTCCAAATATTTTCAATTTACGGGCAGCTCTAATTAAATCATCTTTTGTAATTTCTTGATGGGTTTTACTTTGACCTCTAGCTTTAATTAATCTTGTTCTTAGCTCATCTAAACTTATTAGGCCTCCATTCTTTGCTGTTGTAGATAAACAGACTTCTACTATTTGTACTGCTAATTCATAATAAAAATCTCCTATTCCTAATACAGACCAGAAACCTTTACCTGATGATAATGGATCTACTCCAATACTGGCACACATTTCCTGAAAATAAAGATATTACTGGTATGATCATTGTTGACTATTAAACAAAAAGTAAAATGTTGGTAACATTAAAGTAAATGGTAGATATTATAATAACTCCAAAGAATAAAAAAGATACAATATTCCTTCAAACAAAATTGAACTACGCTACAACAAACCATTACTACAATAAAGTAATATAATGATACAAAGGCATCATAGAATCTATAATAAGGCTTTAGTCAATATTAAGAAGAAAAGCTACATTTAAGAAATTTACAAAAACAACATTTATATATACTAATACAGAACACTTTACATTTATGTAGTACTGAAAATAAAATAAAGGCTTAATAATTTGCTCTGAGGTACAACCATATTATGGTTAAAATTAGAATGTGTGATGGCTGTGTAATGTTGAACTATGACGAGAAAACTTTGAAAAATTTGAATAGTTTCATGGAAGTGGATGGAAAACTTTCAAGAAAAAACAAAATGGAGTTCTTATGGGAATGGTTAAAACTATAAATTATGGTGCTACTAAAAAATATTAAGAAAATAGTATTTAAAGAACCTGGAATTGCTTCCTAAATTCTGGATTTTTTCTTATTTCATTTTTGTGTTTAGTAGCAAAATCTTCTAGATTTGTCTTAAAAACTTCCATTTGCTTGGTCATTTGTCCAAACTGACTTTCTTGGATTTCATTTCCTTTGCCTCGGTATCGTTCCTGTTCTAATTTTTCTTTCCTAATTGCCCCTACACCTATTCCTCTCCGCATTTTGATTGAGTTCTTTTCAGAATAAATAAAATTAAATCATCTTTTATTTATGTCACTGTCAGTGAAAATTTAAGGTTAGGTTTACCCTCTTCTTCTTTTTTTTGGGTTATATCCCGCGAGGTAAATTATAACAAAACTTTGTATTGGCCTTGTTAGTATGTTTTACATTCTTTTTATTTACTGTCTTAGTGTGGCCTCATTGTAATTAATTTTTCAGTCATATATAGAAAAAATAATCTTTTTAGGTCATTTTATTATAAAAAGTTGATTTACTATTAAAAATATAGCACTTCATATTTAGAAGGAAAAACAAGGATTTTTAGTCCATTTTATTATTATAACTTTATTGGCTGCTTTTTAAAACCAGTTGTTATGATTTTAATGAAATTAATTTTTGAACATTGCAAGTTGATGAATTTATTTTAAGTTATGGTTGACTTTAATCATTAAAATGTATAACATATGATTATTACAATTAGTATATACACATGTTTTCATATTTAATATTGTATATTAGATTTTTATTTAGTTTTTGCTTTTCTAGGTCAGTGGAGCTTTTCATACCAATTCTACACCTTTACACACGTTTACTGCTCATCAGGCAGCTGTTAAAGCTTTATCATGGTGCCCTTGGCAACCTCATATTTTAGCTAGCGGCGGTGGTACTGCAGATAGACATATACGGTTTTGGAACTGTAATACGGGAAGTTGCGTTAATTCTGTCGATACAAAGTCGCAGGTAAATATATGCAGTTTATGATAACGTTATGCTATTGATTGATTACAATTACAAGATTGCGATACAAGAAATAAGATACAGATACACTCCGGACGTATTTTCCTCTGAAAACGCATCACTAATTTATATCAAAAGAGATTTTAATACTCCTACGGCTGAGAGTTATCATTTAATATAAATTATGGCATCCGATCTTTAAAAATTCAAAACTTATCTACATATTTATATAGAAGCTATACGCCCCCTAAGAAGCTAAAACTGCTTTTCACTTGAAGATCCTTTTTTTTGTGGGGTTTCATTTTACAGTTACAGGTGCGCTGTTTCCAGTACTTTTCTCCATTCATCTCTCTTTGATTCTACTTTCTCTATTTCTAATTTTCATACTCTCTAAGTCTTCTTGCACTTGTTGTCTCTATCTTTTACCTGGTGGTATCCATTCCGTTATAACTCTTAACGGGTTGCTCTTCTCTCTTCTCATTATTTGTCCATACCATATAATTCTTTGTGCTTTTATTGCTCTAACTATGTTCTCTTCACCTATCCATTCTTGTATTTCGCGATTCATCCATTATCTTGTGCATCCTCTTCGTTTTTCCTCTTTGGTCCCAGTATTTTTCTGATAATCTTTTCTCAAAATTTTCAATTGCCCTTCTTCTCTTGCTGTTAATGTAAATGTTTCTATTCTTCTTCAGCCTTACGTCACAGAATAATAAACAAACAGAATGCCCACTCTCAGATGCCGCCTTTGAAGTTTTTCAGCACGCGCGCCATGTTTTGGAAGGAAACACATAACACAGACATATGATTTGTGAGGTTATGTAATTGTTTATATTTATGATTAATTATATTATATTTATGTTATATTTAACAATGTTAATATAATTGTATAGTATGTCTATGATTGCCGTAAGTCAATTAAACCGGGTTAATTTGTCTATGTACACCACATAAACAACACTGGTTCCCTCTAAAACATGGCGGAACGTCTGCGCGAAGGAGAAGCGCGTACTTAATTTTCCATGGAGAGTTGGCATTCTGATTGTTTATTATTCTGTGCTTACGTAATACAACTTTGGACATAGGCCTCCCCCAATCAATCCAGTGTTTTCTATTTTGCTCCACTTGCTTCCAGTTGTGTCCTTCGATCTTCTTAATGTTATCAGCCCATCTCATTTGTGGTCTTCCTCTGCTTCTCTTTCCTAACCATGGTCTCTATTGTTGTATTTTGTGGTTCCATCTTATATCCTTCAGTTGGGCATTGTGTCCTGTGAAGCTTCATTTTAATTTGGCAGCATGTTCTCCTGCGTCTTTTACTTGGGTTTTACTTCTAATCCATTTGTTTGTTTTTTGTCTATGTCTCACCCCAAACTTTGATCTTTCCATCGCTCTTTGTGCTTTTACTATTTTATCCATATTAGACTTAGTGAGTGTCCACGTCTATGAACCGTATAGGGAGGATACACTGATCGTAAATTCTGGTTTTCAAATATTGTTCTATTTTAGTGCTTTTCAAGATCCAACTCAATTTTCCAAATCCTGTCCATGCTAATCTTATTCTTCTTGTAATTTCGGCAGTTTGATTTTCATTGTTAACTTTTATTATCTGTCCTAGGTAGATGTATTCGCTTACTGTTTCTAAATTTATGTCGTTCAACGTTATTTCTCCAAGTTCATCTTAAGACCTACTTTTTCCGAAGCTTGAAATAGTTGCGTCATCATGGTCTGTAGTTTTTCGAAACTTCTAGCGAATATTACAATGTCATCAGCATATCGCAAATCACTCAGTTTTCTTCCATTAACATTTATTCCTTTATCTACCCAGTTAATGTCTTTGAACACGTCTTCCAGTCCAAGTGTGAATAGATGTGGTGAGATAACATCTCCCTGGCGAACTCCTCTGTTGATTTATATAGCTTTATAGAGTCGAATGCCTTTTCATAATCAACAATGCCAATGTATGTAAGAAGATGATCCGCTGTACTGTAACCCTTTTGGAGTCCTGCCTGCTTTACCGGTTGATAGCTATCGAGCTTCGACGTTAACCTGTTAGTTATTACTCTCATAAACAGTTTGTACATTTGGGACAGCAAGGAGATTGGCCTATAGTTCTTCAGATCTCCCTTGTCTCCCTTTTTGAAGAGAAGTATTGTCAAACTTCCATTCCAATCATCTGGGACTTCTCCTCTGTGAAGACATATGTTGAAAACATTTTTCAATTCTTCGAGAATAATTCCACTCCCCTCGGTCAACATTTCTACAAGTATTCCATCTGGGCCCGGAGCCTTATTGTTTTTTAGTTGTGCCATAGCTTGTTTTATTTCGAAGGATTCTAGATTAGGTTGTATTTTTGAGTTGACATTCGTTATCTTTCTCTTAAGATCTTCCTTTGCAGTGTTATCTGGGTTCTTGTTTGAGGAATATAAATCACGGTAAAATATTTGAATATATTTTAGGATTTCGTTCTTTTCTCTTATTTCTTTTCCATATTTATCCTTCAGTGAGATTATTATAGGCTTTCCTAAGTTTGATCTTAAGCATTGCAGGCCTACTCCTTAAATCCTTCTTTACTTTCTTCATTATTTGTTTATTCAATTGTTTGAACCCATTGGTGTTTCGCTTTCCTTCGCTTAGAAATGTGCGTCTCTTTTCCATCAACCGTTTTGTTCCATCACTTATTATGTCTTCTTTATTTTCGTTTTATTTGCAACAGTCAATCCTGCTTTCAAGAGCTTTCGTTCTTATTCTTCTTCAAGTTCCGCTCCTATTGGAGATTGGAAATCATTCTGGCAATAATTATAATTTTGTTGGTTACGCGCCTGAATAGTTCAATTGAACTGCACCCAAACCATTCACGGAGATTGCGTAGCCACGAGATTTTACGTCTTCCTACGCTTTTTCTGCCTTTGATTTTACCCTGCATTATATTCCTTAGTAGTTCGTATTTTTCACCTCTCATGATGTTCCCCAAGTATTCCAATTTCCTGATTTTTATGCAATTTAAAACTTTGCATTGTTTTCCTAGTTGTTCGAGAACTTGTTCGTTTGTTTTGCGATCCATCCATGATATTTTCAAAATACGTCGGTACACCACATTTCGAATGCTTCTAGGTTTTTAATGTTAGATTTTTTAAGTGTCCAAGCTTCAACTCCATACAAAAGGGTAGAGAAAATATAACATCGAAGCATTCTTATCCGGAGCGATATATTGATATCGCGATTACAAAAATGTTTTCTCATTCTATTAAAAGTTGACCGTGCAATTTTATTTCTTTTGTCTGATCAGTATCTTCTGTGATCCATTCTCCAAGGTATTTGTACGAAGATATTTGTTCAATTCGTTTTTTGTTCAATTTGAGCTTTCGTTGCATTTCTTTATTAATTGTGTTCATGTCGGAATATTCTTGTTGAAAATGTTCTATAATCTCTGTACTCATCTCCCTTCTGTCGTATTTTGGTTTGATCTATCTATTACAATAATTATGTGGGCTGTTTGTACTGGTTTTCGTTTGTTTAATAAGAATCTTTGCTCTTAAACGGCGATGATTGCTGCCAGTTGTGAATCGACTGAGAGCAGTAAATGTAAATGTTTGCTACTATTAATTACCACTATTGGTCTTATGCTCGTTTTGTAGATTTTCTACATAAAATATAAAACGTTGTATGTCCCGCTTGAATTCTTCTTTTCATTTTTTCTGTTTACTAGTACTCCCAAATGTTCAAATATTGCATCTATTGTTAGTTCTGTCATTTGTGTCTTCTTTTTCTTGCTTACCTTTATGTATTTTGTTTTATTTTAATTTATTTTTAGTTCTCTCAGTTTGGCTGCGTTTTCTATTTCTTGGAAGTTTTTCTTTAATGCCCTTTTATCTGTTGTTACTGTGTTTATATCGTCCGCATATCCTATTATTTGTAGAGATAGTCCAAACACTCCTGACCACGAGGCAGTAGATGAAATTTGGTTTACAATAGAACCTGTCTGCCTTTATGTAAATTTGACTCCGCCTTCGCGCAGCTTGATGGTCAGGAGTGTTAGCACTTCTCTAGTGCATTTTTGTTTATAGTTCCTGCGTTTGACAGCTTTTGTTATTATCTTGTCTAGTGATAGAATACATAGTACCGTTGAGAGCGCATCTCCTTATCTTACTCCATTTTTTATTTTTATTATTTCTGTTCTTTCTCTTTCAGTGTCTATTGTTGCTTGGGAATCTCGCATTGTCATTTCTATTATTCTTATAATTTTATTTGGTATATTACTCTCTTGTAAGTCTTGGATAATTGTTTTTCTGTTTAGTTTGTCAAACGCCTGTTAAAAGTCTAAGAAAAGTATATGTGTTTCTCCGTCGTACTCATATGTTTTCTCTATCACTTGTTTTAACGTATTTATCGCTTCTATCGTGGATTTTCCATTTCTAAAACCGTACTGGTAATCTCCTATGCTTTGTTCTGTATTATTGTTAGGCTGTCTCTAATTATACCAGTCATTACTTTATATGTTCTTCTTCTTCAGCCTGTCTTCGTTCACTGCTGGACATAGGCCCATTCCATTTGCTTCCATTGATTTCTACTATTGGCAATTCTCATCCACTGCTTGCCCGCGACTTGTTTGATATTATCTGCTCACCTCTTCTGTGGTCTGCCTACTCCTCACCTCTTCTCTCTTGTTCTCCAGTTTATTAATCTCTGTGTTCATTTTTCGGAATTATCTCGGGAAACGTGTCCGACCCATTGCTACTTGAGCCTTGCTTTACGTTCTGCGACATCAGTAATCTGTGTTCTTTCACGAATGTCGTTATTTCGAATCTTCTCTCTCAAACTAATCCTAGCATGGGCCTCTCCATCGCTCTTTGGGTTGAACTGAACTGCTCTAAACTTTTCTTTGTAAAGTCCATGGTCTCCAGTCCATATGTAGTTACAGGCAAGATACATTTGTCATAAACTCTGCGTTTTGGACACATTGGTATATCTTTATTCTTCAAGATAAAGCTTAACTTGCCGAAAGCTACCCAAGACAATTGTATGCGTCTTTTTATTCCGGCTATTTAGTTTTCTTTGCCAATTTTAATGGTATGTCCATGATATGTATACTGGTCTACATTTTCAAGACTGACGTCAATAATATTAGTTTGTAAATTACTCATTATTTTTGTTTTCTGAAGGTTCATTTTAAGACCCATTTTATTTGACAGCTGATTTAATTCATTGGGCATTTGCTTCAGTTCCTTGATATATGTACTAAATAATACTATATCGTCCGCAAACCTCAAATGACTCAAACGTACACCATCAATGTTTAGACCTTTTTGCTCCCAGTCGAGCAGTTTGAATACATTTTCCAATGCTAAGGTAAAAAGCATTGGTGAAATAGTATAACCTTCTCTAATACCTTTACTAAGATGCATTTTTCCAGTTTTTTCGTCTTCATTGATTTTGATGTTGAATGTTCATAAATGTTTTTAATAAGTGTAGTGTACCGTGAGTCTATTCGAGCATCTCTCAGGGCTGACAAAAAGGACCAAGTTTCAATACTATCGAAAGCCTTATGAAAGTCAATAAATGTCATATGTAGAGGTACATTATATTCTGTGGTTTTTTCTACCAGTGTTCTGATGGTTTGTAAGTGATCGTTAGTACCAAACCCTTTTCTAAATGCCGCCTGTTCAACCGGTTGATATAAATCAAGTTTTTTGTGTTATGCCGTTGATTATTATTCTTGTTAGCAATTTGTATAAGTGTGACAACAAACTTATATGTTACATTCAGTAAATTAATTGCTCGGTAGTTTTTGCAATATCTATCTTGTATTCTTTTAACTGTGTTGCTAGTTCTTCTATTTAAATATTTGTCGATGCTATATATATATATATATATATATATATATATATATATATATATATATATATATATATATATATATATATAATATATTTTTTTCAGGTTTGCGCTTTATTGTGGTCTACAAGTTATAAAGAATTAATCTCCGGACATGGATTTGCTAATAACGAAATTGTTATTTGGAAGTACCCCGGGATGACAAAAATAGCTGAGCTTACTGGACACACAGCAAGAGTATTACATCTGGCTATGTCGCCAGATGGTACTACCATACTTTCTGCTGGAGCTGATGAAACTTTAAGATTATGGAAATGTTTCCCAAAGACTACTATTAAGAGCAAAGATATTGAAAAAGTCAAGACAAAACCTAGTGCACTTAAGCAATGCATTAGATAATTCCATTTTATTTTAGGTAATCGATTGTGACTGATAGTTTTATAATTTGCTATTACGTTTAGTTTACCTCTTTAAATAAAAATTTTACAAATATGTTTGTACATTATTATTAAAATTTACTTAATTTTATCCATTTTTCAATTTTAAACTAACTTTTAATCCTGTAGCAGCTAACCTTAAATTTTTCATTGCTTTCCGAAGGATAAAGTTGATGGTGTAAAAATATGAAAAACGTGCTTTAGTAATATAGTAACATCAGCTGGCATCGTTTTAAAATTATATTGATTAAATAACCAAAAACATTTTTCTTCAGTAAGTATTCCTCCATTATCTCTTGTTATGAGTGTTCTTCTTTGTCTGGTGTTGCCTGTAAGTTCTTTCATTTTTTTATGTAAGTTTGAGGTGTCACGTTTGTTGCTGAGTTCTTCCAGTTCCTGGCATTCCTTGTTCACCCATTCCTTCTAATATATTCTTCGCAATAAACTATGTGTATATCAGCGTATTAATAATATAAATTTTATGAAATAACTCTTTAAGTCTAATATTCCACAAAATAATAATTTTAATTAAATATATTAGACAATTGTACGCAACTGATACGGAGATACTTCAAATTTTATTCACAGTTCAGCGTGTGGCCAAAGTGTATAAAGTGTTGCCGCTTTTTAGAGTAGGAATGTTGTTTATGTTTTGATTTCTTACACAATTTGATCATAATATAATATATATTAATAAATTCTATTTATAAATACTTATTAAATTTAGATTAATAGCTTTAAAAACTAATTATTGTTATGTATTGTGATATGTCAAAACAAATAAATAGTCTGTAGAAAGCTGATAAGCTTTTATATAAGATAGATTATTTTGAACAAGAAATAATGGCGGGACGTTTTTACTATTATATCTCTAAAAGAGATAAGTTTAAAATTTAGAATATATAATTTTGTATTAAAATGTTTTCTTATGTATTTTAATGTTTTGCAGCAGTCTTAAAACTAAGTGTATTTACTGTTAATATAATAGTTTGACAAATAGTAGACATTTTAAAAATTCCTCATTTACTAACTATTCTGATGTTTTGGCAACGCTGTGGGGTTCTGACGACGTAAATCTTGAATGACGTGCAAGCATTTTTATATGAAAAATGCTAGTCTTCTAGTCAGCTGAATTAATATTACTGGTCGGTAGGTCCAGAACAAGCTGAAAAATTAATTCTACTTCTGATCCAATGCATTTTTTAAATGGAGTAAACATTACAAATTCCTTTTATTTTCTTCCGACTAACTCGGCTGAAATAAAAAATATTACACAAGGCATTAAAAATCCCATGGATTTTTATAATAATTCTATAGCCCTAATAAACTCAATGTCTTTTTTGTCTAAATTGATGTTTTTTAATTCATCTGTTAACTTCATATGTTGCACTCGATCAAAGGCCTTCCTAAAGTCTATGAAGCATACATAATGTACTCTTATTATATTACCGACATTTCTGCAAGATTACTGTCAACGCAAATAATGCCTCTCTTGTACCCATACCTCCTCTGAAGCCAAACTGCGTTTGAACTCACATTTCTTATAAATTCGATGTTGAACAATTTTCAAGAGAATCGTTAAAGTGTGGCACATTAGGCTTATCAATCTATATTCATTACATGATTTGGGATTGTTGTTTTTTGGTAGAAGTAAAATTATTGATTTAAGCCATTCCTCCGGGATGTTGCTCTCTACATATATGTGGTTGAGAATTCGGGTGAGTCTCTATATTACCGTCATCTAAAGCTTTTAACAGTTCAACTGGAATTTGATCAGGACACGGTGCTTTTCCTTGTTTTGTATTATGAAGTGCATGCTTTACATCTGAGGGTAAAATTTGTAGGTATTGTTTTTCTTCACCTATATCTTGTTCATTTTCCCTCTCGTCATAGGGCAAATAGATTATATATTGTTTTCATTTTGCTCTCTTCAGTAAGTATTCCTCCATTATTATCTCTTGTTATGAGTGTTCTTTGTCTGGTGTTGCCTGTAAGTTCTTTCATTTTTTTATGTAAGTTTGAGGTGTCACGTTTGTTGCTGAGTTCTTCCAGTTCCTGGTATTCCTTGTTCATCCATTCCCTCTAATATATCCTTCGCAATTACTATATGTATATCAGCGTATTCCTAATCAGTAAAAACCATTTTTGTTGAATTGAAATTGTTGTGTTTGAATGCTACAAAGTAAAAAACTAAACTTAAAAAAAAAGAGAAACTTCACGAACTGACAACAATTTGACAATGAAAAACGTAAGTTATAATTCTGTTGACAGTTCACAGCCAACTAGTGCATAAAATACGAAAAAAATTCAAATCGAGTTTTCTGGAAAACAATGCATCCTACCGACTTAAAATAAGAGTACCTTTTAGTACTGGAATACCCGAAAATCGAATAATCTAGTACCTAGAATACTCAAAAGTTAAAAAGTTTTCGTTTTTCTAAATAAAAGCGTTCTGAAGGTATCTAAAAAAACTAATTATAAGCAGCCATCTTCAAAGATCTAGCTCCCTTAGGAAGCATTTTCAGACTAGGTGAATTGAGTTAAATTTATTCATTTATTTTTACGCACAACAGGCCGTTAAGGCCTAGGGCATTTTTTTAAACAATCCTAATATTAACTAAATACAATTATTTTAAACAAAACTTTTTTTCCAGTCCCTCACCTTCACGTGTTTAAGGTCTTCCTCCACTTTACTAATCCACCTCGTTCTGGGTCTACCTCTTCTTTTGGGGCCGATTAGTTCTCTGGTTATTACTAGTTTGGGCATTCTGTTTGCTTCCATTCTTTCCATATGTCCCAACCATCTGATTCTTTGTGACTTGACGAACTTGGTAATGGTAGGTTCTTTGTATAAAGCCATTAATTCATTGTTGGTTCTTCTCTCCCAACCATCATCTGTCTTCCGTCCTCCGAATATGCGTCTCAGTATTTTCCTTTCCCATCTTTCCAGAGTATCCTCTTCCTTCTTATTTAATATCCATGTGTTACGGTGGGTCGAATTACTGTTTTATATATTCTGAGTTTAACTTGTATAGAAACGTATTTTGAGTTCAGTAGGGCTCTTAAACTACGTAATTTTTTATTCCCTTGCTATTCTGGCTTCCAGCTCCCATTTCTCTTTTCCATTTTCATCGAAAACTACACCCAAGTATTCAAATTCGTCCACCCTTTTAAAACTATAGCTTTTACCACTTACAGACCTCACACTAAAGTCTTCTTTTTTCCCTTCTGTTCCTCTCATGTTCACATATTTGGTTTTGTTTTCATTTAGTTCCAATCCGAATTTTTGTGCTTCTTCGATGATTTTCTTCACAACTCGTCTTAATTCTTTCTCGGTTTTTGCTAGGATCGTTAAATCGTCAGCAAATGCCAAGCACTGGTGCTCATTTTTCATGATTGTTTCTTCCACCTTCATGTTGCTTTTTCTGATTACAGTTTCTAACACTCAGTTGAATAATGTAGTGGATAAAGGATCTCCCTGTCTCAAGCCTTTTGCAACCGTAAATTGACCTGATATGTGACCCTGCCCAGCAATTTCACACTTAGAGTTATTTAATGTCATTTTTACTAGCCGGATCAGTTTCTTTGGTATACCCGAATGTTCCATTGCTCGATATATTTTGACTCTATCATATGCTTGTCTAAAATCCACAAACAAAACGTGCAGGGGAACTTTACCTTCATAACAAGTCGTTTGTATCTCCTTTAATGAGAAGATTTGGTCTACAGTAGATCTCTCCTTTCTAAAGCCGGCCTGATACTCATGTAGGATTCTTTCCGTGTAGCAATCTAGTTTATTTCTCAATATTCTTGCCAAAATTTTGTATACCGTGTCTAGTAAGGCTATACCTCTATAGTTGTCACACTTTAGTTTGTCTCCTTTTTTATGCAGAGGGCATATGCGGGCTTCATACCACTCCGATGGCATTATTTCCTTTTCTCATACTTGCACTAGTAGCTGATATATTTTTCTTTGTAGTTGTTGCATATGTCATTCTTACCAGGACTTTTGTTATTTTTCCTTTCATGTATTGCTGTCACCACCTCCTCCTCAGTAGGCTGCCTTTCAACTATCGCATCTTCTCCAACCGTCCAGTTGTCTACTGCTTCGTGGTCCACCTCACCATTTAATAGTTTTTCAAAATGTTTTTTCCATTTCGTCACTATTTCTGCCGGATCGCTAATTAAATTTCCGTCTTTACCTTTCATATAAGTGCTCATATAACTCATTGTGGTATCTCTTTTTTCTTCTATACACCATAACCAATCTTTGTTTGTACTTCTCTTGGAGTCGCACTTAACTATTTTCTCGCTAGCTTCTCCTACAGTAGATTTAATTTGTTCCTAGGCTTGATCTGTCTGTAAATTTTGGTCACATTGTTGTAGAATTTTATTTATTTCTTCTTCATATTTATTTTTTATTTCTACTTCCTTAAGTTTTTCAATATTGTACTTTCTCTTCGTTTTATTGTTCGATTTCTCTTTTTCTTCCAGCCTCCTTCCACATGTGACTTTAACGAGATAATGGTCCGAGTCGATTTCAGCTCCTCTCATACTTCTTACCTTCTGAATGATATTCATATAGTTACGTTCAATCATAACATGATCTATTTGGTTCACCGTCCTTCCATTTGGGAAGACCCACGTACCTTTGTATATCTCTTTTCGTTTTAGTTGAGTGCTTCTCACCACCATATTTTTCTCCATGGCAAATCCAATAAGTATTTGACCATTATCGTTTGTTACTTCGTGTTTACTATAGTTACCAGTTACTGCAGTGTACAGAGGTTCTTTTCCCAGTTTAGCATTACAATCACCCATTATTATTTTTACATCACGTTTAGGTAGGCGCTCGTATTCATCATTTAGCTGCTCATATTAAAGATCTTTTATTTCGTCGTCCTTGTCTTCTGACGGTGCATGAATATTGATTATACTCCAATTCCTTTTCTTACTTTTAATTCGTATTGAACACATCCTTAAAAACCAGTTCCAAGCATTCTATATTTACCTCCACTTTTGAAAAGCACCATATCTTCTATATCAGTTATTTCCTATTCTAATTGTTTTGTCTCTTGAAGAGCCTTTAAATCTATTTTATACTTCCTTGCCTCATTCATTAGTTCTTTTAGCGCACCTTCATAAAAGGTTCCTCTGACATTCCATGTAGCTAAACGTATCTTGTCTTTCTTCGGCTTTACCTTTGTATTACTGTCTTGTTTTGTTTCGTTTTCATAGTTCGTAATCCTTTTCTTCGCATTGTTCGTCTTCATTTCTTTCCTTTTCATGCTGGTGCTTAGTTTTTTGCTTTGGTCTCTACCACCAACGTTTGGTTCATGCCATCCCAGCGCCATATTTCCTGGTCGGAATATATTGACTTATATCCTACTTTCACTTTTCTCCCTTCTTTTCTTAGTTCTTGCGCTTTCTGTCTGACATATTTCTGTACAATTCTATCCTTCAATTGAGTTAAATTATCTTAAAATTATCTGAGGAATCTCTTTGTTTGTCAGGAGAGTTTCTGGACTATACCTAATATGGATCATCTCGAATACCTATTTATAATTTTAAATGTTTTTATTCTTCTTCTTCACTGGCTTTACAACTAGGCGTAAGTCTTCGCCGCATCCACTATCGCCCTCCATCCTCTACGATCTTGCGCTTCTACATCTTCAACATCATCCTTTCATCTTTTTCTCGGCCGGCCTACTGATCTTCTACCATCTGGTCTTTCAAAAAACATTTTCTTTAACACGTTGTTATCCTCTGATCGTACCACGTGACCTGCCCATCTTATTCGGTTTGCCTTGATATGTTTAACTATGATTTCAATTCCATACAGTCACCAATTCAGCATTGCGGCGTCTTCTCTAATCCCCTGTGAATTTATCTCTTTGAAGGCCAAATATTATTCTGAAAACCTTTCTTTCTAATACTAGAAGCTACTAGAAATGTTTTTATTGTGGATTTATTTATTATGTAGTGTTTTAGAAGAATGAGATATCTCTATTAGATAGGCGTATATAAGAAAGATATCGTTCTAACATGCTACGAAACCATAATACTGTGCCCGATGACCCTTGCTTACAATTACCAAGAGAAAGATTGGAAAGATCTAGAATAGTAAGAGGTCCTTACCAACCGAAACTAGAACAGTTTTCAGCTAAAATAACAGGTAAAGGAAAAACCATGACAAGTCTGTCGTTTTTACCCACTTGGTATTAAAACTTAAAATGGTTGGAATATATTTTAACAGAAGATGCAGCTTTCTGTTTTTTGTGCAGATGTTTTGGCATGAACGACAATACTAAGCCTGGATTGATATATCTCGTAAAGAAACGTTTAAATTTAACTGTAGCAGAAACTATTTTTGAAACAATAAATTCTACTTTGCATGCTATGAATGTTTCGTGGGAGAATGTTGAAGCTGTATGGTTCGGCGATGTCAGGAAACTTTACTGGTGTACAGAAAATATGAAAAGAAAAGAGAAAAATATTACAATTTTGTATATTCATTGGTACGCTCATTGCCTTGATTTAGCATTGGTGGCCGCTGGCGCTAATCATATTGCAAATCTAAAGATTTTCGATTTTTTATTGTAACCCAATTGGTTTATGCGTATATTGAAGGCAGGCCCAAAAGACACTTTATTTTTGAATAAATTGTGAAAATAATAAGTTTAAAACTTTGAAATCGTTACCTGAAATACGGGCTTGTCGTGTTGCTAGAGCTAACTGTAAAGCGACACTTGATCAAATAAATCCTTTGATTTTATTATGGATTTGGAAATAATGCATTAAATTCTGCAAATGGTTATCAAAGTTAGCAAATTACTTAAATCACCAGACATAGATATATGTTAAGCTATAGAAGAAATTTTAAACTTAGCGCTTGCTTTGGAAAATTAAGGATCGAACCATCTATATTTGATATTTATTCCAAAGTAAAAGACACTTGTAATAAGCGTCATTTCTACTCCGAGAAAAGTAAAATTTCTACTAGATTAGATAATAATGCTGGACATTTATTTATAGTCAACAATAATAAATAAGTAAGATTCTTTTTATTTTAAAACTCTTACATTTTATCCGCCTTTAAACCCAATGATTCAGTCATTAAACGATCATTTGACCAGGAATCAAACAATTATTTAATCAGTTGGCAAAATCATATCGATAAATATAAATGATCTAGGAAATCAAGATGTAAAATACACCTCAGAACAATTCGATTTAAATTCTTCAGAATTAGAAGTTGAAGTAACATTTAAAAAAAAAAGTAAAAATTTTTCACCTTCGAAAGCTCTGGATTGGATGTCTCAGCATAATAGAAAATCGATGTTTCCAGTGTTTAACCAACTAATCGTAAACTTTGCCACGATTCCTGTAATAAATTGTACTTGTGAGAGAACTTTTTCTAAGCTGAGCGTAATAGAATTATACTTCGATCGACAATGCTGCAAGACTGTTTGGAATATCTAATGGAGCCTTTTGTTGAACAAGAACTTACTCTAAATATACATAAAGATAGTGGAGTTGAATTTAAAAAAATGTTATCATTCTAGCTACGAATGGTATTGTAATGTGTTGTTATAATATATTTTTAATATCAATTTGAATTTTTAATGTATTTTTTATATATGTGACCACCCATATTCTTCTTATAATCACGTAATAATTTTATATAACTCGTTTCACAAAATATTACTGTTGGAAATTAAAAAAAGTATATGGGCGGGGCGCGATTCAACATTGGAATCCACACTGTGATCCACACTAAACAAACCTGACCACGCCTATGAGTTCTACAAAGTTCTATGATTTTCACAATACATACCCTTTTGGTCTAGCAAGACCGTCGGCGTATATCACAATTTGTTTAGATTTTTTATTGGGTTTACAGATAATAATAATACAAAACATATCACATAAATAATAATATTAATACATATTATAGTATATATATTATATATATATATGTACAATATTATATATATATATATATATATATATATATATATAATATATATATATATATATATATATATATATATATATATATATATATATATTATATATATATATATATATATATATATATATATATATATATATATCATCCAGCAAAAAGATAAAAGAGGGAATCTAATCGGTATGAAAAGGAGACCAAAAAAGTGGCCTCTGATGGCGGACATATCCGGAAATGCAAAGGCGCTAAATTTAAATTTTCCAACACTTATTAACAATAGCTATAAAATATTTTTCAGACGAGAAAGTTTTAATTAAATATTAACTATAATAGTCTAAAAAGTGACACAATTGGTAAAAGATTTCAATATAAATAAAATTTCATGTGACAGTTGGAACAAACAATAACATAACCTAACTAAATTTGACTTCTTAAACAAGGAAAGAGACTGTCTATCCTTGTCTAAAGTGGCCTCTCAAGATGGCACTTCCTGTCTATCAATATGTTTACCCCCTCTACCTTTACATTCCCTCTTTTGTCTTATTGCTCTATGATATATATATATATATATATATATATATATATATATATATATATATATATATATATATATATATATATATATATAATATTATATACAAAAGGAACATTTTCATTCTCGAGAGAGGAAGACAGAGAAAATATATCTTCTGTCTCTCTCTTACGCATTATCTTACATATGTAATGGTTTCACAGAGTCACTCCCATGCGAATTTCCAACGCCGACCATGCGTATAAAAGTATAACTTCAAAAAGCATTGTAAAACCACCTTCTTTCAGTCTGATATATTTGAACTTGCGCCTCAATATTATATTTTGAAGAAGAAGAGTCTGAATATTATATTTGAATTGTAGCAAAAATCTTTTGTCAGTATAAATAAAAGTTTATTTTGAGTGATTGTGCTTTTTAAAAAATGTTTTCCAGAAGTACATTCATAATTCGAACGATCACAGAAAGTGTGAAAAATATTTATGTAATACATATTTCTTTATATATTTATAAACCAGTATAATTTATATTATACATCATTGTCAAATCTGTACGAAAAACATGTTATTTCTACAGGCTGTAAAGTGTATTCAGTAAAAGGCACTTGTAATATGTAGATGTAGAATTTTTCCATATGTTAGCTGGGCAAATTATCCCCTGGGATATTACCCAATAAAGGAAGAAGAAGAAGAATTTTTCCATTTAACCTAAAATTTTGGATATTGGCATTTGCCATTGTTGTCATTTAGTGTTTGTATCTAATTACTAATTTACTCTTAAAAATTTAATATTATGTGTATAATACTTACATGAAGGACTAATATAATAAATAGTTCAGATATTAATATGAGTTCGCACAGGAAAAAGAAATATAGTGAATCTTCTAGTGACTCTTCCAATTATTCATCATCATCATCATCTGAAGAAATAAGTAAGAAACACAAAAAACATAAGCACCACTCAGATGATAGTGATAGTGACCATATATCTAAGAAGAGGTATCAAGATTCTTCAGATGATTCAGAACCTCACAACACAAGTTCTAAGTATGTATTATAATTTAGAATTTTTATCCTATATATTGCAGACCTGAACTATTGTGTTGGCATTTATCAAGTTTTCAAATTCCTTTATCCTGCATTTGGTTTTTGTTTTCACCTTGTTACTGCTTTTAAATAGTTCAATTTTAATTTTTTATTGATTTCTTATAGTATGCTTCCTTTAAATTTTGTTCTACAAAAAGCCTCTTTTTTATCTTTTTTTTTGTGTCTGTTTTGTATATCTGCCATTTTCTTTTTTTTACATTATTTTTTATTCTTTTGAGCAAAATAACTATAAATAATATTGGTGAAATGTTTTAACTGTTTTATTTTATATCTTTTCAAAATAGTTATCTTGCCAATTTATAATTGATTTAATTTATTATGCATGTTATGTAGTTAATGTTCCTATGATACTTATAGAAATATATCACTTCGTTTTATCCTTTACATATTATGTTTTCTAACTAAATCTTCCAACTTCTTAATTGTCATATTTAGATTTCCCATAAAAAGTTTTAGGAAGTTTTGTAATGGTCATGTATACCTTCAACTACTATTTGTAGAAAGTGGTCCATTCTTGTTATTATCCTGAGGTCATATAAGAAATAGAGTTTTTTTTTATCAATCTAACAAGATATATGTGTACTTTGCTTAACCTATTCATCTTTCTTGGGACCTGATACTCATATAGCTCCCTTTATCTGCATTTCATTTTCCTTTCTAAATTGTATCTGCTGAATCTCTTAACCCACAAAAGAAACCAACCTAAATTTCAAGTTACTAAATGTTTACAAATAGCAATGAGAGCCTAAAAGAAGGGACATCTATAGACAAAAATGAATGGTTTAAAATTCTGATAACATATTTTATCCATAAACATTTACTAGAGAGATCAAAAGGACCAATAGAGAGATTTATATAGATATGTAGATTCAATGAGGTGACTTTTAGCTTATTCCACTGTAATCCTAGATTACATTCTTTAGCCTGACCCTTTTCAAAAGGTTTAATAACTTTGAGACTAAACTTTTAGCTCTTTGTCTGTGGCTTTCTTTACCTAATGCAAAGAACCACACACTTGCCAGGCTTTCACACTGACAATAAAAATGTGCTCTGCTGTTTCTTCCTAGATGATAGAATCTGCATAGGTCATCATCTTCCAATTCCATCAGCTTCAACTGCATATTTTGCTTACAGTCTGCCATAATAGGTCTGCTAGGTCTGTTATTCGACTATGGCTTAGACTGTATTCCTGTCTTCTGTCTCTTGTCTAAATTTTGACAAATTGATGGCCTGGTTCCAAAAGTGGCTAACTACAAAATCATCGTTTTCTTTTCAACGAAATTTTAAGTTAACCCTGTCAATCAAATCAGGTCTTTCAAATCAAATGATTGTTTCTCTATAAAATATCAGGTAGTAATAATAATTTAGATATAAGAATAATAAATAGTTCTTTAAATTATTCGTCTGGGGACGGTTTTCATAAGAAAATGCACATAGCTACATTTGGAACTTAACTTTATTTTAAATTGAAAAATGAATACTGGTTATCTACAATATTACAACTACGGTAAAATTTATAAAAATAAGTAATAAATAAACAACGGTGTCAACTTCTTGTAAAATAAATATTTCAAAAAAAAATCTTGCTCTTCCTGGTCATTTATATCAGGTAATACCGTCTTGTCCTCATTATTTTAATCTCCAATTATGTCTCATGCAATCTTCTGGAAAATTTACGGCACTACTGATTTCTTTTAAGTTTTGAAGTTTTGCAGCCGATATTTTCCTTTTTTCTTTAAACAAAGGCTTTAAACAATTTTCCATGGTGGACATAATTCTTTAACCCCTACGGGGAATAATCAATATTTTGTGAAATACTTCATCTAAATAGGTTTTAACGTGCATAACATAAGGATTACCTTTTTCATAACGAATCCACTTAATGTCAGGCCAATTAATCACAGTTCCATCTTCAGCTTTGTTTAGATTAACCATTATAAGATTTGCAAGGGTTTCCAATCAATAAAGGTAAGGTCAGCTGTTGTATTAACTTCATATTTTGGAGCATTTCGTTTTGAGTTCTTTGCAATAGTTACCCATTTATGCGGCAACTATACAGGGATATTTTTGGCCACAGTTTCTATTCAAGCATGCATTGAGTCACATAAGATCATACATGGATTTATTGATTGTCCAAACCTGTTAAGCCAAATTAACTTGAATTCTTCCTATCAAGTTCTATGTTACAACAATATTTTCAATATTCCTTTTCACAGAACAACCTATTGTATGTTCCTTGTACCAGAGGTTATAATAAAACAAATGGCACTAACTTCACCTACATAGAAAGATGTCCATTCCAAAGGTGGCTATGTTACTAGCTACATATGGAATTACAAACTATGTTCATTATGTACATAGATACTAATGGTTCTATATATTCTGGCGCTAATTTTTAAATTAATGCAATTCGCCACATTTGGAACAAATCTTAAAATAATTATGCGGTTTACTGTGTAAATAGCTCAAAAATGGAAAAATTGTAGTTAGCCACATTTAGAACCAAGCCATTGAAATGTTCTATAATAAACTGTTTCACCTGTCTTTGTCCTGGTGAATTCTTCCAATATTCCAGATATTTGTGAGCTACCCGCTTTCTTGTAGCTGTTCTTGGTACTATCTTTGCAACACTGCAGAATGGTTCTGGTCCAACAATGAACCTTGTTTGATATTTACATTTACTTTTTCGTTGCCTTATGACCCTCACGCTCCAGTACCCAGGTTACCATAATCATAACTGTAATAGAGAGATTTGCAGGATTTTATTTTATGTTAATCACTGATATTATTACTTAACAGGTTTTTCAGTATCTATATTGAACTTCAACCGACTGCATCTGCAACCTTCTTTAGAACAATAATTAAGTATCTATTTTTGTGTGCTAAAATTTGGATGTAATTATATATTTTTTCTATATTTAATATAAATTACATCCTTTTCCCACTTTTTGTTATTAGATTCAATTTTTGTATCTTTAATATTACGAGAGATATATCACTGGATAATATCAAGTTTAATTATAATTTGATTATTCAATCAAATATATCCAGAGTATCTTTTAAATGTCCAATTATTCTTATTATTCAAACTTTCTTCTTATCATGACACCTTACATATTCATTTCATTCATGTTTTGTTACAGAAAATCAACAAATAAGACAAAGAGAGAAGGAGACTCTAATTTAAGGAAAGAAGAATCTAGTAGTGGTAGTAGGGTTTACGAAAATCACACTAAACAGAACTGGGACAAAAAAGAGTCTCATTCAAAGGATAAATATGACAGGAGGGTATATGATAGCAAAGATAAACAAAATCAGAATAAAAGGGATGCTAGGGATTATAACAGAGATAAATATGATAGTAAAAGTTATAATAGAGATAGATATGATGATAGAGATAGGTCTAGGTATAAAGATAGGTATGATCACAAAGGTAGACAGGAATCGAGAAGTCGAAGCGAGGAACGAGAAAAAAATAAACAATTTGATAATAGAAGAGATCAAGGAAATGACAGGAACAAAAGGAGAGACGGGTATGTATAGATATTTAGATAAATATTGATAATATCGACGTCATAATGTCCAAAGGGAGTAAACCTTAAACTATGAATTTCATAGGACACATAAAAAACTAAATTAGTTGTTCTGCATATTTATTTGAAGGATACAACTGTTATAAGAGGGTGGTATTTTAGAAAAAACTAAAATTTCAATTTCAAATTTTATTTATTTATTTATTTATATACAGCATCCATTTACTTACAATTTTTACAAAGTTACATCTTAAAAACAATATATTATTAAAATAACAATCACAAGTTTTACAAAGTTACACCTTAACAACAATGAATTATTAAAATAACAAACACCTCAGAATAATACAAAAATTCAAGAATAATACAGATGTACAACCAACTTATTGTAAGATACTTTTTAGTTGTTTTTTAAACAAACTAATTTTGGAGTCAAAAATATCTATTTGTGTTGGCAAGCTATTAGCACTCCGGACCAATCGTGTAGTTGGTTCATTGATACCATAACTAGTGTGGTGAAATGGCACCGAAAAGATTTCTGATTGTCTGTTGCTTCTACTAGGAACTTTAAGACTAACAAGCGATAAGAGTTGATGACAATCTATAAAAGCATTGATAACTTTGTGTAAGAAACATAAATCTAACCATGTCCTCCTTGACTCAAGTGTTGGTAAGTTAAGACTATCTCTTACCCACTGATAGTCATATTCCTCTCTCCTGTATCCACTCTTATAGGCTGCTACCCTCAAAAATTTATTCTGGACTCTTTCAATCTGTTGAATGTAACACTGGTATGATGGGGACCATACAACTGATCCAAACTCAAGAATGGGCCTAACGAGACCACAATAAAGTCTTCTAAATGTAAATAAAGACAGATCCACAGATGTGCGTTGGATAAATCCCAGCACTTTCATTGCTCTGTTTGTTACTTGGTTAATGTGGCTTGAGAATGACAGTTTGGTGTCTAACCAAATTCCCAAATCTAATACTTCATTTTTCGAGACTAATGGCAAGTTATTTATGTAGTAAACAAATGTAATTTGATTTCTTTGCCTCGAGAATGTCATTTTATGACATTTGTTTATATTGAGTGACATTTTGTTTAAAGTGCACCCATGATACTATGAATAACAAGATAGGATCTTCCCGTAGCTCAAAATAGGTCGGGTTCGCGCATGCCGTCATTGGAGACTAGCATTTGAATTCTTGTTAAAGTTAAATGAGATTTGTATGCATTCTGTGATGAAATTACTAGACGAAAATAAGTTAAGAGGTTTAATAATTACAATAATCGTACACATACGGATATCTCCAAACTATTTATTAAAGATTATTTATTGATATATACAAAAACTGACATTTCGAACGTGCAAGTCTCCAATGACGTCACAAAAACATGCGCAATATCTTATCTTATAGTCATAGTATCATGAGTGCACCAATCATAAAACGATTTAAGATCTTCCTGTAATATAACAGCATCATTCCAGGATTGAATTTTTCTAAATAGTTTTACATCGTCAGCAAACATAAGAACACTACAATTTTTGATTTGTTGTACTAAATCAACCAGAAACAAGCAAAACAAAACAGGGCCACAATGGGAGCCTTGTGGCACGCCTGATGGAACTGTTATTTCAATTGAAGTGTCACTTCCCAAGTTAATTGTCTGCGTACGGCCACTAACAAATTCTGTAATCCACTGAAGAAGGGGATCCAAAATACCCAAAGCTCTTAGTTTTTGTAAGAGGACCCCATGGTTTACCCGATCAAATGCTTTGGAAAAGTCAGTATAGATTGAGTCAACCTGGCACCCCTCTTCAAACCTGTTATATATATGATTGACATACAAAACCAGGTTGGTATCTGTTGACCTCCCTCTCATAAAGCCAAATTGTTCAGGATTAAAAATGCCTCTATAACTCCATGTCAGTTTCTTACTAACCAAACAATCAAGCAACTTGGGCAGCTCCGGCTGATTACAGACAGCTCGATAGTTTGATATATCGTTCCTTGTACCCGATTTAAAAATCGGCTTTAAAAAACTTTTCTTCCAGAGACTGGGAAAGCTACCAGTACCAAGTGATCTGTTAAAAATAAACAAAAATGGTTTTGTAAGTACACATATACATTTTTTCAGAAAATAGGCTGGGATTCCATCCGGCCCTGCACATAATCTGTTTTTACAACTTGCAATAGTATCATAGACCTCAGTTGCTGTAAGTATTATAGAACTCAAACAAATAGAACTGTCAAAATTAAAAAAAGGTAAAGTATATTTTTGTTCATCTGAGTAAACTGATGAGAAATATTCTGCGAACATATTGGCAGAGTCCGTCATATTTAAGCCAACCTTATCCTTATAGACCATTCTGGATGGTATATTATACCCATTTCTTTTACTTTTAATATAAGACCAAAAATATTTTGGATTATCAGAAATGTTATTTTGTATCCCATCTAAATACTGTTTCTGACAGTCTGCTCTTAAAATTTCACACTGGTTTCTTAAAGCCACAAAACGGTCATAATCATCTTGCCTACCACTAATTTTAAATTGTTTGTGGGCCTGTTTTTTACATATAATTAGGTTACGCAGCTCTGACGAGAACAAAGAGGGAAAGGTAGAGGTTTTATATTTCTTTAGTGGAACAAAGTGTTCTATCAGTGAGTAAATTATATCATAAAAAATGACCACCATACTATCAACTGTACCATTACGAAACAGTACCTCCCAATTTATACTTGCTAAATAATTATTTATTGAAAAGTAGTCACCATTTTTGAAATCATAAAAGTATTCCTCGTAATTCATAACATCAAAATTTTCTTTACACACTAGTTCAAAACTGATAGCTGTATGATTTAAACTATTCTCAAAAATTTTATCTACTGCTGGAGTAACAGTAATAGATTCCAAATCGCTAAAAACCAGGTCCAATGGGACTCCTTTGCTGTTCAAAATATCATTCCCTTTGAAAGAAGTTATAGCAACGAAAGCAATTTGCTACAATACTTACAGAGTCATTTCCAGTGCCCGTCACTGTTAATCCCAACTCATCATTGCCCCATTTAGCTTGTGGTAGGCCTGTAATCACCTGCCAAGACAAACAAACTATCTGAAAAATTAGTGTAAACATATTCAACAGTTTCAAAATGTCTTAAATAAGACTGAGAAGGTGATGGAGAAGGTATATATACACAGCCAATAACAAAATTTTGAGTTTTGATTTTAAATGTTAGGTATAACTGATATACTAAACAAGAACAAGAGATACTAAAAATCATCGAAGAGTACTATAGAACATTATATAGTCGAGATGATCACATTCCCGAAGTAGAAATTCCAGCAATACTAAATCAAGGGTCAGAGGAACTTCCAGATATAACCGAAGAGGAAATTAAGTCAGCATTAAAAGGTATGAAGAACAACAAAACACCTGGAGAAGATGGCATTGTAAGTGAAATGATAAAACTAGGAGGCGAATGCGTCATAAAGGCTTTAAAAACCCTTTATAATGCCTGCCTCTTTGAAGGAAATACGCCAGAAAAATGGAATAATGCCATTATGATAATATTGCATAAAAAAGGAGATGTAACAGAAATTGGCAACTACAGACCTATCAACTTATTATCTCATTTATATAAACTCTTTATGAGAATAATTACTAACAGACTGGGACCTAAGCTAGATTTTCATCAACCTCTAGAGCAGGCCGGATTTAGGAGTGGCTTTGGAACAAATGACCACCTACAAGTAATAAAATCCTTGATAGAGAAAGTTATAGAATACAACAAGCCATTGATATTAATATTTGTAGACTTTGAGAAAGCGTTTGACTCAGTCCAGCATAGCTCCATGTTAAGAGCTCTTACAGAGTGCAGTATTGACCATAGGTACACAACTCTTCTTCGAAATATATATGATAGCGCAACAGCTGCTGTAAAAATGTACTATGGTGACACAGACACATTTCCCTTGGAGAAAGGTATTAGGCAAGGAGACACTATCTCTCCTAAACTATTCACCGCCCTATTACAGAGTGCTATGAGAAAAAATAATTGGGAAAATATTGGATTAAATATAAATGGGGAATTTTTGAACAACTTGAGGTTTGCAGACGACATAGTCCTTATTGCAGATCAGGTAGATCATGCATGCCAACTTCTTCAAGACCTTCAGAGCTCTTGTGCACGAGTTGGCCTTAAAATTAATTTTTCCAAAACACAATACATGACCAACCTGGTACTGGCAAAAAACATTTCCACTAATGGCACGCAAATTGAACAAGTGTATTCCTATAAGTATCTGGGCCACGAGATTAAATTGGGAAGAGACAATCAAACAACAGAGTTAAAAAGGAGAATAGGACTGGCATGGGCAGCTTACGGAAAACTGAGGGAAGTCTTTAAATCAGCTATTCCCATGTGCTTGAAGAGAAAAGTTTTTGATCAGTGTGTACTTCCAGTTCTGACATATGGAGCAGAAACATTGACACTTACCAGAAAAGTAATTAATAAGATACAAGTGGCACAGAGAGCGATGGAGAGGTCAATGTTGGGCGTATCACTCAGGGACAGAGTTTCGAGTCAGATAGTAAGGAGAAAAACTGGTGTGACGGACGCAGTTGAAAGAATTACAACCCTGAAATGGAACTGGGCAGGACATGTTGCTAGGGTCAGAGATGGAAGATGGACAAAGAAAATTTTAGAGTGGAGGCCTAGACACGATGCTTATCGTAGTCGAGGACGTCCTCCAACAAGGTGGTCGGACGATTTAAAGCGCATCCAGTCTAACTGGATTCAAGTTGCTCAAGATCGGATGCAATGGAATTATTTACGGGAGGCCTATGTTCAGCAGTGGACGCAAAATGGCTAATGATGATGATGATGATAACTGATATATGTCAGAGTCAACAAGAGAAACTACGATTTTTTGAGTAGAAAGGCTCTTTTTAGATGCAATTAATACACCACCTCCACGTGTCTTTAGAGTG